TGACTGATGGCAATGGCTCTCGAAAAGACTGTGCCAGTTTTAGTTGCCCTTTAAAAATATATTGGTGTGAATTTTTAGTCACATTTTTTAGAGCTTGTGTTCTCTAGATTCTGATTTTTTTCGTTCATCAAAAATTTAACCATACCTACCATACACTTACCATACTTAATATTTTCTCTTAATACATACCATACTTGTATGCATATAGGTTATATTGGTTATATTTGACTCACCAGCTAGAAAAGTCAGTACATATTACCCACTAAAACCCAACGGAATCCCTTGTCAATGGGCAGATTTGCCAATGCAGATCGCAACAACCAAGGGGTTGCTCTCAAGGTCCACTCCACTATTTGAGAAGTACGAGGAACAACCCACATGGTACACCGCCCACCGCGGTGGCTCACACCCGGCTGGATTGCCGGACGCTAATGAGATAAGAAAATAGAAAACCCAAACTGAAACTTGGCTTAAATGGTTATCTATAGCAATATCTATCGCGAACTAATAAGAAGCGAATTTAAAAGAATTTATAGAAAAACAAAAACAAACCTATCTAACGGGAACCGTACATTTTTGCGGTATAAAAAGTAGCCATGTGTTATTTCAGACTATGATCTATCTCTGTGTCAAATTTCGTTCAGATCCGTTCAGCCGTTCTGGCGTGAAAGAGTAACAAACATCCATACATACTCACAAACTTTCACATTTATAATATTAGTATAGACTAGCAGAACCCGTGTCTTCTTAAACTATAAAAAAATCTAAAAAGATAGGTTTCATACAAACTTTCATCCCCTTTTTTACCCCCTTATGGGATGAATTTCGAAAAATACTAAAACACATATTTATTTAATTGTATGTCAATACATAGTCAAGAGCAGTATTATCAAGTTTTAAGTAATTCTGATCATAAATATTTTTTTGGATTGTTAATAACGTACTAGCGACTCACCCTTTTAAATTAAAATGGATATAGTATATTATTATCCTTAAGAGATGTTATCGCGCACTTTTCTGTAGACCTATATAAGATACACAATTCCACTACACATTATTTTGTTATATCTCAAAGGGTTTAGGCAGCGTTTTGGTTGAAAGCTCTCAGACAACTTATTTTCCGAAACCTCCAAGAAATATCGTTATATTTTAGCCAATGTATACAAAAACTTAACAAATTATATACTAAAACCTTCCTCGAGAACCATTCTATCCATTGGTGAAAACAGAATGAAAATCTATGCAATAGTTTTTGAGTTCATCGCGAACAGACAGACAGACGCGGCAGAGGGCTTTGTTTTGTAATACATAATCTCCCGTAGTAAAAAGTATATGTCACTATCGAGCCCTCTTACTATCTTCACCCAAAAAATTACGCCAATCCGTCACTCTATTTCGACGTAAAAGAAAGACAAACAAACCAACAAACACACTTTCACATTTATCATATTAGTATGGCTAGATTTATTCTACATATTTATACAATCGGTATACCTGAATATAATTGCAATTTATTATAATGGTATTATACAAAAGTAGATCAATCGGAAAATCAATTTACTAGAAGTAATAACTAACGGATATCTATATCCGTCGCATTTCATAGAATGCTACGCGACAAAGAATGAGTATATGATTATTCCTTTCTATATTTCTGCTATTTTTAAAATTTAAAGTGCAGACTGTCGTTTTCTTCTAACATTAAAATATCTGCGTAAACTAGCGAAACTGAAATCCAATTTCAAACTAATTTTATTGATATTCTATAAAGAACAAGTTATAACAATATAAATTCCAAGGAAAAAGTCCACCTGAGGAGTGGAATAATTAAATTTAAAGCGATTTTGGAGTCGCTGTACCTTTTTGTCTAAAAAGTATTTTAATTGAACGTTGACGACCGTCTAGACTGGTGGTGCGGACTGCGGTGAATTGCAGGGTCCATTAATATTGGCTTTACAACTCCTTATCGTATCCTGGATTTATTTGTTCTATCAACTTCATGTACCCAGCGCTCAGCCAAGTTGGTATACTGTAAATGCTATCGATAATAGAGACCTAAGAAGCATTTGTATGCATGTATGTATTCAGCCCTTTTTAACGTCCCACTGCTGGGCACGGGCCTCCCTTCAATACGAGGGGGATCAGGCCATAGTCCACCACGCTAGCATTGTGCCACCACGGAGCTGGTGTGCGGGTTGGCGGACTTCATATGTCTTTCGAAAACTTGCTAAGTTCTCTCAGACATGCAGGTTAACTCACGATGTTTTTCCTTCACCGTAAGGCAAGTGAGAATCATGTTAGAAATGATTCTCACATGAAAATATCAGACGTGCAAGACCCGGGATTTCAACTCGCTTCACTCGGTTTCCCAAGCAAGCGCGTTACCACTGGGCTACCACTGCCACTAAGAAGCATTTACTTATTAATAATTAATATAAAACTATGAAAATAAAATTGTTTCAGAAATAATACATAATTTCTAATTTATAATATCTAGTAATATATGGTTGATATTTTAGTACTTTATCACTTTAAATAAGGAGGTAGAACAGATAATATAGGAAATATAGAAATTTTGCTAACCGTGACATCGACTGTCCTCTAAAAAATAAAACAAAAGACGAACGTATTGTACTCAGTTTATTACACCAATTTAATTAATCTTATTACACTAAGATAAACTAGTGGACCGAAAACACGAAAACAAGTACCAATATGGACAAATATCTGTAAATATCCCTATTATATACCTATTATAGGGATATTGTACCTTAGTCGATTTTATGACCACTGCGCTATCGTAGGCTTTAATTTCCACTACAGTGTATAAAAATTCTATAAAGCTTAAAACGATTAGATTTATAGCCAAAGGTGAATTTCATATGGAATAATTAAAAAATTCGGAATACTGACCTTGCTAATTGAGAAATTGACATAATTAAGTAACTTAATCGCTCTGGTTGCGGCTCCCACTGGACACATGGAAATTAGGTTGAGTGCATGTTTCATAATGAGCAGTATGATATGATGTTAGAGATATCTTTTTCATCTTCGAATTATTTGACAGTAGCAACTCATCCTCGCTTCGCTTCGGGTTCATCCCCAAAAATGAATCTATCCCACGGGAACCATACATTTTTTTGGGATAAAAAGTAACCTATATGCTATTGCAGACTATAATCTATTTCTGTGCCAAATTTCTTCAAGATCCGTTCAGCCGTTTGACGTGAAAGAGTAACAAACATCCATCTATCCATACTCACAAGCTTTCAAATTTATAATATTGGTAGGATAAAAAGTTTTCTGGATAAGTTTAGATACAAAAATAAAATCGAAGTTATTATCTAATCTTGAAAATATATAATGTAGCCTTAGCACGTGGCTCTGCTCTCGTACTCTACTTATGAATGTAGTACCTATATTTCTAAAAATCCCATCTTAGCCGATTTTTACGTCTACAAAAATTCTTAATATCAATTTCCAAGTGTCTTACTTTTAAAACGACGAAATCTCGAATTTCACATCATCATCCCCTATTTTTCACAACCAGAGGATACATTGTCTAAAACTTTAAATTAGAGTAGCCATTGTTTTTAACTAGAACGATTATTTCTAATTTTGGTCACTATAACTTTAAATATAACTATTTTTTTAGATACTTTCTATATTCTTTCTAGATTTCTAAATTATTATCGATACTTTCAACTCCTTTTTTATTCCTTTAGGGATGGAACTCCCAAAAATACTGTCTTCGTGAGGGACTCCCTACTTTAATAATCGTGAAAACTGATTGACAATTGGCGAAAATATCGAATAACATATACACAAGTATATTAATAACAAAACATCCTTCACCTTTAAGTGCCTCTTTAACAGTTACGATTATATCGTGACAATTAATAAACCAGTGGCATAAACATGAGTACATTGGACACTGAGTCTAAATGTTTTTATTTAGACCATGAACGAATAATTCGTCCATGATTTAGACAAATGAACAACATTGATATGACAATATTCCATGCTCTGCGTTACGCTAAAAATAAATATTGGGCCTACCACGTGTCTACTAGATCTTACATAATATTATTACTGGATAAAATCCTAAACATATTTCAAATCCTAAATATAATTCATACTTACTATATTATAAATGTAAAAGTGTGTTTGTTTGTTTGTCCTTCCAGAGTGACGGATTGGCGCGTTTTTGGTGTGTGCTGGTGTGTGGCTGTGATGGTCGGAGAGTGACATAGGCTACTTTTTACGGCGGGAGATTATCTCATTCTCACGAGAAAACACGTTATGATACAACCCAAAAATATTTATGATCAAAATTACTTAAAACTTGGTATTAATGCTCTTCAATATTCATCCCATAAGAGAGATAGGAGATGCCCTATAGGGATAGCAAATATTGGATAAAAGTTTATCTGAAACCTACGTTTTTAGAGTTTTCTGTAGTTTTGGCGCGAGCGAAGCTACGGATTCTGCTAGTATAAGTAAATGTTTTAGTCTCTACAACTAAGAATAAAATATTTTACATTGCTAGAATAGCTACGCCACCACCTACCACCACCTACGTCGTAGCATGTCTACGTATTAAAATACACCACTATATTAAAACTAATGAAATAAATCTATCTAATAAGAAAGCTCACAAAGAGACGTGTGTAGTGTAGTGTTAATTTATTATCCATATAAAAATATTATATTTGTCTCTAAATTAAATGTAAATGCTACCTCTATATATTAAAAAACTACTAAATAGATATTGAGAGCGAGGTAAAGCTCGTAACTGTCTCCTCCTTTGATTCGCCGGTATGAAAGCGCCGTGAATATGTAGGTGTATATTTAACTGGAAATATCAAGTACCTAATTGTGGTTTAGTCGATTTAAATCTTATCTGTACTAGAATTTCTATCTTTAGAGACTACGAGTCTGCGAAAACATATACTTTTGGGCAGCCGAAAAGTGCATTATTGGTGTTGATAATTCCGAAGATGTTACGGCATCGGGTAGGGCGCTGCAGTGCGGGCTTGGGGCTTCGGCGGGGGTGCGGGGCCGTGGGTCTGAGGGGGGTGGGGGGTCGGCGCGGGGGGGTCGGGGGTATCGGGAGGTCGGGGGGAGGAGGCCGCGACCCGGTCACGAGTCACGAGTCGCGAGTCGACAGTGCGGCCGCGGCGCTCGCCGGCGCACCGCGCCGCCCCCTTTTGTAATCTATAATAAGATGCTCCCGTTTTACCTATACGATGAATTAGGATAATACTTGAACTCACGTGTGATATATGACCTTGTGAATGATAGGGTTTTTCCAATAGATAGCGATGTGTTCCCAATTTTACAGATGCTCAGATTAGTATTTTTACACGTTGTTTAGTGAATTTTATTAGGTAGAGCCGTTTGTGGCCGTATGATTTAGGGTTGTGCTTGGCTCATAGTCATATGTGGATATTTTCCGAATGGAATCTGTTTCTAAACTTTATATATTCATGAGATTTCCTTTAATTCTATAACGAAATCTATCCTTTTCCGTACAAATCATTTACGTTTTCTAATATTCACATGATGAAATATAGTTATGAAAAAGACTTCAACTAATTGTAAAATAAATTTAATAAACATAAAAGTGACTTTAAAGTGAAGTAGCAAGTGTGAGTGTGCCGTGAAAATGATAGTCGAAATACAAGAGGTAACTTTATGTGTAGACCCCGACCATGCACTCCTCATCGCTCATCGCGGCATCCTGTAAATACTCGTAGATCTGTAGTAACTGTTTTAATATTATTTGCCAATTCATCATATTCAATCTATCTAATGACGTAAACAATAAAAAATCACTCGTAGTATAACTTTTACTATATTGTTTACGAACATTTCAACTTATTTTATCAAAACTCAAAAAATAATAAAAATTAAAAAAAAAACACAAGTGCGCTTCCGCTTCCGTTAATTTTGTTTAGCATGTTAATCAGCTGATCAGTTAATATGACGAGTCCCACGCCTGTTGATTCCACTTTGCCCACCGTTGGGATAGTCCAGTCCAGATTAAAGATCGTTGAGGGCGATGTCAGTAGGTCAACGCACAGTGCGTGCGGCGGGGCGTGTCAGGGAGGGCGGGGGTGTGGGGGCGGGGGGTCGGGGGTCGGGGTGCAGGTCGCTCGGGCGTTGCACCGCTGCAGCCAGTGCAGGCTCTACGCCGGCTACGATGGTTACGCCGTAGCGCCTACGCTTATGCTTATAGAATGATTTGATATAAAAACACTTGTTTCGTTTTATTGAGTAAAATTAATAGTTTGAATGGTACTTGAGAAATAATGTTGTTTGTTCACGTCTGTCTGTTTACATAATATTAGATTCGTATTTAGTACATACCGATATAGATATAAGAAGATAAAAAATTATAATTAGATTCTTCTTATGAATTTTGATTTTAAACATTTAAAGCATACGAAATGAGCTCTATTCGCATTTTTTATAATGCCTGACTCTAGAAAAAAAACATAGACTGTTGTCCAATTTTCATACACTGTCATCAAAAAAGTTTGAGAATATTGTAATATATCATTATTGCTATTGCCTTTATTTTCGATTTAGCCCACAACCATTGCATTTTATAGTTAAATCCTTTCATTAACGCTGATTTCAATTCGCATTCCATTGTACATAGAGTAAATGTCACATATCCGCTTTATTCCTATGAACGATTAAATTAAGAAACTTATAATTATTATTTTAGTAAAGCAAAATTTAAAGGATTTTTAAAAAGATTTTAATTCACATACAACTATTTTTAACTGATTGAGAAAATGTATTTTTTAGAAATACTGTATTTTTAAATGACAGGGTTTCCAAACATAAAAATGATCTAATCCTAGGCTGAAATTAATACTATTTTTTAAAATTCTTACGTGAAAATTTGTCACAAATGTTTTGAGAGAGTTTTCGTAGATACAGTATTGAATTAATTAGTATGTTTGTTAACAGGAGGTTAGAGGGAAGAGGCCTTTTAAGATATGGGACAGTTCGCGCAACGTGAGGAAGGGCTTGGTGGTTACTAGCTTCGAGGAGCTTTTACATAGAGGTGAGTTGAAATTAAAAATCCATAAGAGAGAGTCATACTTGCTCTCTATAAGGCATCAGTTAAGAAGAACATCAGCTATTATAATGGAACTAATAGGATGGAATTTACGTAAAATATATACGAGTACTTTGCGAAAATTCTATCCAGATAATTATTAAGGCTTAAAAACACAGCCCTCTAAAGTTAGGACCGACAGGAAAACGGATGGAGAGCATAGTCTTAGTAATATTGTTCCCTTAGGTAACAAAATTAAAAAAAAATGTTTTTAATATTGATGCCTACGTTTACTGCTATAGACGTTAAATGTCAGAAGGGCTTTTGGGAAACTAAAACACATAACTTTGTCCGTACAAAAGTATTTGCGTGTTTTTTCCAACATACCTAGCCGCCGAGGATATTTGGAAAAAAACTATTTGTTATTTATGTATCATTTGGATGTTTAGTTAGGAACATTTGCGTAGGCAGATTCATATTGTGGATGTATTTGGGAAATAAATCTACATGACTAACATCGACATCTAGTACAAAGGTGGCATATAATGTTCATAGCAGTGCATACTATGGATATTGGGAGTTACATTTCCTCAAGTGGCAAATATCTGATTTGAAATTACATTTGAAACAAATAGATAAGTGCGGGTAGGTATAGAAAGCCAACGTGAATTCACATTTTCATTTACAATATCCGCTAAAACTGCTTTTAGTCTGATGATAAAAGCCTGTGTCACTCAAAAAACTGTCACATTCAATTAGCAAAGAACAGTATTCGTAAATTTTTATTAAATTAAGCTATATCGAAAGGGTGGCCCTAAGTAGATTTTAACACAACTTGTACTTTTAAGGGTTATATATTTGCTCTTAAAGTGATTTTGATAGTTCGTATATCTTTTTAATTAACAAGTTACTGTTAAAATCAGATAAGTAATTCCATATAATGTGCTCTACATATAAAAATCTTTTTTGACTTTATAGTACAAGTTGTGCGTCTAACGTGACCTACAAATTAGAAGTCTACATTGTGACAAAATATGGCAATATTGTGTTAGATCGTGTACAGTATGTTACTAATAGGAATTAAATACCTCCGTCTTCTAAGATGCAATCAGTAACTTAACCGGTTAGAGAGGTCAATAAGATTTGCCGCAGTTGTTCGCATGACCCGCTTTCGTGCCCAGCTCAGACTGCCTAGCGATGTATATTATCCAATAATATATATCTATATCTGTAGGTATTATCCATACTAATATTATAAATGTGAAAGTGTGTTTGTTTGTTTGTCTTTCTTTCACGTCGAAACGGCTTGGCGGATTGGAGTGATTTTTTATGTAGAGATAGTTGGACGGCTGGAGAGTGACAGGTTACTTTTTACCGCGGGATATTATCTCTTTCCCACAGGAAAACACGTTATAGTACAATCCAAAAAAATATTTATGATCAGAATTACTTGAAACTTGGTATTAATGCTATTCAATACAATTAATTAAATACGTGTTTTAGCACTTTTCGAAATTCATTCCATAAGGGGGTAAAATAGCAAATGAAAGTTTGTATGAAACCTAAAATTTTAGAGCGTTTTTTGTAGTTTTAGCGCGAGCAAAGCCGCGGGTTCTTCTAGTATACTATATATCTGTAAATCTGTATAATGTATTTGTATATCCTTAGTAAAATTACAATTTACAAAATTGTTTATTTATCATTTCTTAAACTATAATATTAGCATTACATGAAATTACTTCAATTACTTTTTAAAACTTACAAACTACATAATGTAGCTAATAAGTGTAATTATTATTTATAGATTTAATAAGTGTTTTATAATTCGTACAATAAGTAAGAGTATTTTACAAATTTATTTCTTATCGCTATCTATCGCTCGGTCCGCATGTGTAGTACTTTTCAAAGTCAACAGCCATGGCACTGTTGTCGGCTGTACTTGATATAAGATTTTTGTATTTGAAGTACAGAAAACTTAAAACCTAAACATAAAGCGAAGTCGTAAGGCGTATTAATAAAACATAAATATAATAAAATTGTAATAAATAATAAATTCAATTCAATTATCAATAGTAATTCAATAAATTACCGCTTTTTTTTCGGCAGATGAAAAACGAATAGTTAAACTGATAACTCTATTTATTAAAAAGCATAACACGAAGAAAACCGCTATATGTCACGACGTGAGCTACTAATAGCAACAGTGATAACGGGTTTTTAAACGTTTTATGGTTATCTTAGTTGAAGAAATCTATAGATTTTTTACTAAAAAATATTGTATTCCTTCGAATATAATATTTTTGAGGCAATTTTACTACACGTAAACGAAATTGGCCCACAGATTCAAGCTATATTATCATTTACGGACTTAAAGAAGATATCTAAAAGGCCATCATAGACCTAAAAATCTAAATTCTAAATAGACAAAAATATTTTTAATTACTTTTTTGTTATCTCGTCTCATTTATCCTTTTTCTTGAGTACCTATTTCGCAGCCAAATTTTCAGAAACACACAAGTCAGATCTTCTTTCATCCAGATTACAACATGTTTGATGTCAGAAACAGCTTAAAGCTGATAAAGATATCTGTATTATGAACAGTATAAAAACCCCTAACGAGAATCATACTTTTACCCGATCATACTTTTACCCTAGTATTTGAAGGAATATCATGTTTCAACATGTTTCCATAAAATTATTTAGTGTACCTAAACACGTGTTCTAAACAGTCACTTAGGGTCACCATATAACAATTTTTCCAGGGAAAGAGAAGCTATCGGTAGCAGCCAGTGAGCCGGTGCGACTGGTGCTAGAGAGCGACGGCACGCAGGTCGAGGACGGGGAGTACTGGCGCACGCTCCCGCCCAACACCGTGCTGTTGCTGCTGCGGCAGGGGGAGAGATGGTATCCGACGGGCGTAGATGTTATCAAGGCTGGTAAGTACATTTATTTTTTAGTAAAACCTTTTCTTAAAAGTTTTTTTTTTCTATTATCATTGGAAGTTAAACTAAATTGTTAAGGAACGTTAGCACAACACTAAAAAAATTAGGCCTGGAAACTATTAGATTACAAATTAGTACTTTCTAATCACAAAAATATGAATGGTAACGATGTATAAATCTTTTAAGTTTTGTTAATTATTTAATAATCATCTTAACATTACTCTTATGATCTTAATATAATTCCAGCTATATCGGCGATTCCAAAAATTGTGTGCGAGACGATACACGCTCTCGAGCTACACGATGAAACACCTTCATGGAAAATCATGGACAACAAGGGGCGCGTCACAGTGGTGTTGCACTGGGACCAGCGGCCGCAAGCGTCGCCGGCCGCGCGTTCGCCCTCGCGCCAAGCGAAGCCCGACCGGCGGCCCTCGCTCGTCATACAGACCTCGCTGGATCGCCCGCAGCCTCCGCCCCCGCACATCACCGTCGTGAATCACGACGAGCCGGGGCCGGCGCGGGCTCGCCTGTCGCGGGCGTCCTCCTCGCTCGACCACCACGTACACACGGCAGAGTGTCGCGCATCCGCGCCACCGCATGCCGCACCACCTGCACCTCCTGCACACTCCCATCAACCTCATCGTCCGCCTAATGATGAGTGCGATTTTCACTGCTGCGCGTTACACGAGGAAGGCCGAAGAATCGCCGTACATAAAAGCGTGGCAACATCACCGATTCAGGATTCCCAACCCCGCGCCTCACCCCAGGGTCGGCCGAAAGGTCACGTGCGATTTCTCGACGCTGAATCCGCGCGACGCGGAGATCGAGACTCTTCAGAAAGTGAAACCGAAAATACTTTAGTGGAAGACGAAGCGGTCACATCAGAAAAGTTCCTGTTATTAATCGATCAGCTCAGCGTCGACCAAAAACGACATCTGACCATCAAAGATATCGGTATCATACTCGAACGACTCAGTTCTAAGATTCTCGATGTCGAACGATTGGACCGGGAATCGGAGTCCGACGATTGTTACAATTGGACTATTAAGGCGACGATTCGAGGAGACGCGTTAAGGGAGTTGGGCGTAATATACAATGGAAATTACTACGCGATCAGCGAGCATCCTGGATATCGGGAGGAGAATGAGGAGGCCGGCGACGAGGGTGAAGAAGAAGAGGAGGAAGATCGACTCTGATCGGGCCTGTGCGGCGCCGCCGTGCCCGCGGCCGCCGCGCTGCGCCTAGCGCTGTGCCGCGTCGCCGCGCGCTGACCCGCCGCACTCTCGCCCACCCCACCGCTGCTACCACCCGGAACCTTAAAGCAATATAAATCACTAGGTTTCGTCGGTGAGTCGACTAGAGCCCGGAATTAGCCCTAGCATTATTAACATCCATGTATTCTGTGTCCTTGCTGACGCGACGTAGAGAAAAAAAAGAGGGCTGATATAGTATAAACATCCGGGTATTTATGTCGTAAAATCATTATAGGTAGTGTAAACAGAGCTCGGAGCGATCGTATGTCGCCGAAATTAAAGACTTTTTATGAAATTTTCACATGACCGACTCGCGCCGATGGCACGGGCCACGGAGCGAGGACGTTGACTCTAGTTAATAAATAGCGAAATAAAGTAAGTAAAACTGACTTCCTATCGATTCCTAAGGCGGTTAAGTGTACGAGTCAGTTGTCGAATACCTTTTTGAATCGATATAACACATACTGTAGCGTAATGTGTATTACTGTGTCCGGCATCGACGAACAGCAGCACAAATATTTATCATCGACATTATTGTCTTAATAATTAGGTAATAATAAATTATAGACGACTTATTAGCGAACGAATAACGATGCCACGTCATGAATCCGCTGCTTTTTATGAGTAATAGTGAGTATAAAACTACATTCTTTTTGTTTCGAGTTTTCCATGCAGCTCATTTTTATCACGGTCACGGCATCCACAGTCGAAGGTAGGCCTAAATAAAAAAAAGTTTCAAAAACATATTCAATTTATATTAGAACGTGTAACAGATGATCAAATCTTGAAATACCAATATTGACTTGATCAGGACGTCAAGAAACAATAATTTCCAGGAGTCTGTCTGTCTACATTAACGTACGAAGACGTACTTTGCTCAACGTGCATCGTGTTCGTGTGGTATCAGCAAGAAGTTAGCTCAAGCTGTCGTGATTAAGATTATCGAGTAATATAGAATTTGAAGATGTATGGGGCTAGACTGACGAGCGATTCGCTCTTTATGCTTTATTTAAAACTTACCTTAAGTACGCGGAGATGTGGCCCTCCGAGGGGAAGGGTTGTTTCAGAGAGAACAAAACGTACTTAAATACTCTTCATAGATATAATAAATGAAGCTAGCTAATAAACTGAATGTTTAAAAAAAGGTTGTAACTAAAATACGATTATACCACACATTGCATCTCATCATGCCAAATTGGTATTTGGTAGTCGTAAGTCGAATCTCGTATTAATAAGATCTATAATATCGTAGCATTATTGTATAATGTTTTTAATTTTTGTATAGTACCGATATGTGAACTGTATGATATATGGAAGTGTAATAAGTTTTACCGCCCCGCCGGGTTGGCATAAAATGTATAGTTATTTAAGGTGTAATGTTAACGATTATTAAATTATTATCGAGTAGAAGTCCGCGCGACGAAGCGCGGACGGACCGTGCAGCGTTCTGTCGGCTAACGATTGTATACATTTTTGTGTACGATACCTGTTGTATTTATGTGCTGTTCGTTTCTTTTTAAAGTTGACAACGGTTCATGAAAATATTTTAGATTTAGACATTTTCTAATCTCTGGTTCGAATATTATTTGACACATATTATTGGCGGGAAGAATGAATGAATGAATGAATGTAGTTTTTATAATTCCTTTCGATATTGTTATTTAATAATGTTATGTTAGATTTATTGTATTATAGTATTGTTTAAAACTTTTATAAAAATAGTATAAAATTTTTAACCAATACGAACGAGGAATGAATTTTATTCGGAATGCATGATATTTTATTATTGAGAATTTCATATTGATATGGGTGATGTTGTAAAAGTATGTGAAAATTAAATTTTTTCAGAGCAAACGCATTCAAATATTTAATAAAACTAAACTTCGCAATTCGATGGCAAAATGTAATCATAATATGACAAAATTTCAAAAATACCATTGCTAAGTTATTTAACAAAAGATGTGAGGATTTTGCCCCTTGCCGAGAATTGATAAAAAAAGTAAAAATACAATTTTCATGAACCGGCAAATAAACAACTATTTTGATGTTTTGATACATAAATTATAAGAATTTGTTTTTAAGGTTTGATATTGTGACATGTCTTTATTAATTCTAATTAAATAATTTCTATAAATTACTATTACTATAAAACTTTAGGTGAAGCTATTTCGAAAGTGGCCGAGTTACACGAAGGAATTCTAAAGATCGACTCTAAGATTACATAGAAATAAACAAATGAATTAATCGCATGTTGATCGTAGAAACAGAGTGTTAAAAATATGAGAGATTTATTTTATTTGAAATACCAGTGACTTCAAATAGGTTTTAATAGTGAACTAGTCGACATGCCGAACATGATTTCATTTTTTGTTTAAAAATGCATGAGCGGCACAAATCGTATAATTAATATATTAATAAAAGCAAACTTCCACTGTGTAAGTTGTACGTGTACAATCCTTATGTACCTCACATTTATAAATTATCTAACTTTATCGATACGACATGACAATGACATTAAAACTAAACTGCCAATAAAGCGCTTATTGCGACTTTACTTGTAGAATATTATATATTAGTTTAGCAGTAATCCATTTTGTATAAGTTTCAATAAAATTTTTAAATACAAGTAAGTAGGAGTGCCATTAACAAATTAGATGTAAGAACCTTATTTTAAAACGCAGGTGTCGAGTACGCTTTAGTAAACGTTAGGACTGAACCCATTGTAATAGAACATACTATAGGTTTAATAAATTTTGTCGTAATTTTAATTTATATGTTGTAATAGCTTTATATTGTAAAATTTCAATTATTTAAAAATGGTGGAACAACTGATGGATACTCTGCGTGATTATTATTTTTTAAATTCTAATGACTGTCATGTTGTAAATGAATTGAATGTTTTTTTTTTCATTCTTCAATCTATTACGATCATTCTATGGAGCCAAAAAACGCAACCATTGTGCCAAAATATAGCCAAATATAATATTTAAAATGAAGTCACTGTTAGTATTTCCTTGTTCAAAGCATACGTAATCTATTGTAAAATTAACATATTATAATCAACACAGGAAAGCACTCGATAGAATAATTTAATGTTACGTGCCAAGAATCGTGTCGGTTTGACACGAAATTGATAGTGGGGTATAAGAATTTTTATAACTACCCACGTTGTTGGTTTCCATTTTGTTGTACACTATAGGTTCCTGATAATAATCTAGTCACAGTTGTTTTATTTTAAAGCCAATTTTAACGGTATCCAGTCAAATGTATGAAAGTGTTAAGTGAATCGTTTTGTTAAGTTTGATAATGAGTGTAAGTTGTGCAATTTTGTTCTAAAGCAATGTTTTTGTATAAATATCGAAGTCTGATTTATATATTGGTACGATTGATTTTAATTTGATATTTTTTCTTTTATTGTTCCGTTTTTTACTTATTCGTTTAATAATAAATGTATTGAATTTGACGTTTTTATAATAATAATCAAACGTGTATGAGACTTCGACGTTTTCAAAATGAATTTACTAAGTTAAATTGTTAGTGACTGGGGCACCGGTTTCCGTTACTCGTTAGTTACATTAAGCAACATCTCGAAAAAACTTCACTGCCACTAAATTAATAATAAAAATATTGGAAACGATTACACTGGCGTTTTATTGCAATTGACAATTCTTACGATTAACATCTTTATTTGTTTGTCTTTCACACTGGGGCAAGGGATCGACGTGTTTTTATCCTTAAACATTTCTTGAAGCTGTTACTTTGGTACTTTTTTTCCTTTGGAAGATCGAATAAATGATATATTATTTAAATCTATATTTTTCCAAGATAGATAGATTATGGGACTGTAGGTTCGAGTCTCGTGTTGAACTAAATAGTAATAAAATAGTTTTAAAGGAAGAAACTAAAGAGTAAAAGTATCTAAAGAAAATATAGTAGAGTTTGCGAGTTCCTCTGATAATAAATCTTCGGGATCAATCAAATTTCGGGATCTTTTAACTCAGAAAGCTGTTTCAGACGATAGGTTAAGCCATCAATACTGCGTCCCATCAAAATATGAGGCCGAGTAACTCTTAATACAATCCATTGGTTCTCACATTTAGAAACTATAATATTTTGTATAAATTACTAAAAACAATTCAAGAAAATCTGTACTACCACTAATTTTTGACGTTATAATGGCCAATGCAGGCCAATGATCAAACCAATATACAATTATAATAAAATTGTAACTGAGTCGAATCTGAGGAAAATATTATTGAAATAGTCATTATTATCGATACAGAGGCCGAATCTATAGTTTTTAGAATTTTTGTCTGTCTGTCTGGGACCGCACCACGAGAAAACCACTGAATAGATTTTGATCAAATTTGGTGTGATGATATCCGGGGTCAAAATAATAATAATTTATTATCCAAATGTTTACAAGTTTTTACAAAATAATTTAAGCCAAATAAACAATATCGATATTAAGTGACTGAAGCATCTGTAGCTGAACTAGGAAACCTGTATTTCAACTAGCCAAAATCTATACATACAATAAAATTGTAACTAAGCCGAATTTGTACATTAAATATTTTTTGGAAAATGTCATTTAAATAAACATTACCATCGATACAGAGGTCGAATCTATAGTTTTTTTTTTTTGTTTTCAAAAGTTTTGTGGTAACAGACAGACATGTCTGTTTGTTACCACATCACAGAAAAACCACTGGAGGGATTTTGATGAAATTTGATATGGTAATAACTGGTTATCCGGGTCAACATATAGGATAATTTTTACCGCGGGAAAATGTCTCATTTCTGAGAAAAAGTACTAAAACTGCAATGTAAGAGTATACTAATATGTAAAACCTAAGAATTTGGTTTTTGGTAATCTGAACGCGGGCGGGGCCACGGGCTATGATAGTTCTATATATAATCAAAATATCTCATCTCTGAGGAATCTATACTAAACGTTCAAACGTACATAGGGAGGAAACCGAGCCGAGCGAGGATGAGTCGCTGCTAGTTGTATATATTTAGTCTTCGTATTCTGATAATGTCTATTTTTTCTTAATCATATCTTACTCCTACATATATGCAAAAGTTTGGATGGATGGATTTTTGTTACTTAATAATGCCAGAACAGCTGAACGAATTTGGGTGAAATTTGGTAGAGATAGATTATGTATATATATGGGGCACTCCACGCCAAATCAGACGGTTTCAAAAAATTATATTTTTGATTTTCTTAATAATTTGGTATTTTTAGTACCCCTCAAAAGAAGCTTCCTGGTAAATTTTGAGATTTTTTGATCACTGATCCGATTTGGCGTGGAATGCCCCTATGTAGTCTGGAATAGCACAATAAGTTACTTTTTATCCCGTTGGATAGATTTGTTTGTTTTTCAGTAGGGACGAACCCGAGCGAAGCGAGAGTGAGCCGGTAGTATTTTTTTCTATTATAGTTTTATGTTTTATCTTAATCATCAGTATTATTAATTATAGCATAATTTAGTCTTGAATATTTTTATTTTATTTACGTACCAATGAAATTAAATTAAAAATTATTTCTCAGCCGTATTTAAATAAAAAAACTAACCTTTCGGATGTTTTTAATTACATCACAGGATCGCACTTGTTTTGCCACTTGATATTTCTTAAATTGGAACTTGCGATCATTTAAGTAAAAGTTATTATAAAAATAATTGATCGAGTTATTTCAAAGAAAATTAGAATAAAATAAAACAATATAACCGTTTATATAATATATTATAATCAAATATAATTGATTCATAATTTGTAAAAGTATTTATAAGCAACAATAGGTACAGTACATAAAAATTGTTTTAACAAATATATATGTATAATATATAAAATGGAAGCACTTTGTGTTAACAAAACAAAGAGTTAATATATTAAAATACATTACATCTAAAAAAATTACATATTAAAAAATTAGAGCACACACTAATCTTGGAACTATTAAAAGTGCTTGTTGGTTTAATGTTTAATCAGGTCATTAAATATCTAAATGTAATTTAATACAACTTTGATACATAGAACTGTATATCTGAGCGACAAATTTTCAAAAAAAACATTAACACATTGTGGATCGTCCTAAAAATATCAATTAACAATTATTAAAAAAACGTCATACATAATATATACATATTTGTACAATACAATATGAAAAATCTTATAATATAAACATATTGGAAAGATCTAGAAGTAAAAATGTAGATTTTCTGTAATTATACGCTATAAAAATTTCAACAAAATAAATTCGTTCATAACATGTCCACAACTATAACAAAAATTGAGTAAACTCGCCCAGGTGTATATAAAACCATATAAACAGCTATAATATGGGAAAAACGATCTACCCGTACTTCGGTAAACCCATGGAGTATAATATTTTTACAGATAAATGTCACAAAAAAGTAAAGTTTATTTTAAATAACTTTAGACAATTTATAATGGTGATAATATAATATATTTTTATATTGATCTTTTTTTTTAATCTTAGTTTTCTTATTTAATTCACTTATTAAAATTTATATGTTTGATAATGATATCAAATAAAATAAATTTTATATTACATTATTCGTTTATAGTAGTTTAAGGCACAATTTCATTGCATCACATACAAAATTACCATTTTTGTTAGACAAGCAACAAACAATTATTTCATGACAATTTAAACATGAGTAAGAAAAAAATTGCGAAATTATCAACCATAGAGAATTGTGATATATAAAAAAAGTATATCTCTTAATTCGAGATATATTGTTTTTTTTGTAATAAATACAATACTATCTCTTTGACTTTAAAAGAAGAAGGTTTAAAAACGATTGTGAAACGATTTTAATATTTTCTATTTTATAAGACTTGACATTGAGAGTACAAAATTCAGTTTTTATTTTATTTAATATCAATTTAAATTTACGTATGTATTTAAAGAACCTTTGATATGTAAAGCCACTTTTACTTAGTTTAAAGAATGAATTTGTTCAATCAACAGTCTTTTATTTACATTATGAACTTTTTTCAATTTTTTTTTCTTAATGGCAAAAATTTCTTTTTACTCTTGATTATTTTACGATCTGTTTTATTACCTATTTAACTGGAGATTATGTTAATCTATACTTAATATTATAATGAGGCAAAGTTTTTAAGTTTGTGAGTTTCTAGGAAGTAATCTCTTGAACTACTGAATCGATTTAGATGAAATTTCCTATGAAGATAGTTTGAGGCTCTGGGAAGGTCATAGGAGATGATATCCAAGATTTTTATCCCGGATATCATCATCTCTTAAGAGGATGAAAAGGGGGATGAATGTGTGTATGGGGAATCAATTATTTCTCAAGCAAGAGTTAAGAAACTGAATCATACCTATGTGTATGTATGTACTATAATATATAGTCTGTCTATTCCATCCTAATACTTAAAACGTACTTAGGGACGAACCTGAGTGAAGCGAGGGTGAGTCTTATTATAATAAATAAAACTTATTATAATTTTGATTGGTCAACCATTGTTTATTTCAATGTTTAACAATATCAAATTCAGTGATAAAAGCTTACAAAAAAAGAAACTATCACATTCAGTACTATGCAATGTAATCCTTTCATTGTTTTCAATTTATAAAACCTAGAAAATGAAATACTTTTTTCACAAAATTTTACTTGTCTCGATAACACAAGTTGACAAAATAGTCATTGTCTTAATAAACTAAAAAATTAATTATAGACAAAATCTGTCATCGTCATCAGTAACTTAGTTTTTGACAACATATGAATTATACTAATCTTATAGAGGTAAAGTTTGTGAGTTTGTGTGGTTATAGAGGGTAATCTCTGGACCTACTGAACTAATTTAGATGAAATTTGGTAAGAACATAGTTTGAGACCTTGGGAAGGACATAGGATGCGTTTTATCCCGGAAATCATCCCTTAAGGGGGTGCAAAATGGAGATGAAAGTTTGAATGGGGAATTAAGCCAGGGATGAACCCGAGCGAAGCGAGGGTGATTCACTAGTGTTTTTATAAAGCCATTGATTTTACGAATTTATCATCGCTTCAAAACAATTTAGCTTTTAATTTTGTCAAATATATCATTATATCAAGCAAGCGGGTCATTATTTTGACAAATTTATCATTATAACGATCAACTAAGTCATTAGCAAACTTAGTTTTAAGCTTCACGCTACATTCTCGGAGGGAGACAATACGGTGAGCGTTGCTCACTCACTCTCCACTCATTTCCTTCAATTAACAGATTATATAAATCAAAGTAATAAAATTTAACAAACCTGATTAATTTTCAATGGCAATTTTTTTGTGTTTTTTTCCCTTTCAATGTATTTATAATTCTGGCACCAATCGTTTTCTTCTTCTTTTTATCGGTTTGACTCGTATTACTTAGTGATTTGGTCTCTTCTGTGGATGCTGGGTCCTTGTGAAGTTTGTGCAGATCATTCATAGATGATGTGTCTGTGGGTACAGAGGGCAGGGCGAGTTGTTGCAAGTCCTCCTTAAAGCCGTTCATTTTGACGCTCTTACTATTGGATAGCTCGTTGATGCTCATCGAGGAGTACGTTGAGTTGCTCATGTTGTACTCTATTCTTAAGTATTATGATATATTACAATGAGTATTGTTATATTCAAATAATTAAAATATTAAATGATTAAAATGGCAATAAATTATTGTAGTTCGAAGTTGTCTTCGAAAATATGGAACGCTCAAAACGATTTAATATAAATTAGTTTTTTTTTTCAAGTGAATAACTAAGCTATTGCTCCATACGAAAATCCAAATAGACAACGAAAATTGACGAAATTTATTATAGTACGTATTTTGCATAGTTCTTGTATTCATAAAAAAGCAATTATTACTTATAGCATATATTTCTATTTAACTAGCCACAGTAAATTACTCATGGAACTCTCTTTAAATTAAATTGACGATTCAAAAGTGCTCTTAAATGATAAATTGAAAAAAGAAGAACGAAAAAAATATAGGTAAATAAAACAATTACACTACTAATTTGAACTGAAACCGTTGTCAAAGAAAAAAAAGAAATGGCATTATTACTGAAACCTTTGTCAAATTAAAGAAATAAAAAGAAAAAAAAAGAAAGTACCTAGGCGTGTTAACGATGCGGAGCGAGTCGGAGAGACGGTACCAGAAGTAGGAGTTGATCTCGCCGCGCGTCTTGTAGTACAGGCGGTGGTACTGCGCCAGCAGCTCCGGCAGCGAGCACTCGCGGTACATTATCGGTATCAACTTTATTTGTTGTTTATCTGTAACATCATTTATATTTATTATATAAATAGATTATTATTTATAAGATTGTACTTTAAAAATAACTGTTTTTTCGGGTTTTTTTGACGGATTTATTTTGATTTATGATCCCGACGTTTCGAATGGTTTCTTATAAAATATATGTAAAAAACAATAAATAAATAATAGTTAATATTCGATTATAAAACTTGTTTCAATATTTTTGTATTTTTCAATTCATTGTATAATTTTGTGGGCACTGTCTGTAACAATTTTATAATAACCTTTGAGAGGTCTAAAACCTACTTTCCCGTGAGCCGTGACCATGATTGCTGTAAAGCATTCGAAACGTCGGCAACCATAAATCAAAATTCGATTATATTGAATTTTATTCTTTATGGCTTCAAAGCGTGCCAGTTGAGCAGAGATAATATCAAAATAAATCCGCTAAATAATCCGAAAATAAGTTTCATTTAAAATGTCAAATATTTGCATAAATCTAGAAAAGTATTATAATAACTTGATGCGGGTGTATGTTTGTCCCTCCTTCGCGTTAAAACGGCTGGACGGATTTAGATGGAATTTAGTACACAGATACAATTATATAGACCTGATTATCGACTCACGCTCGCTTAGCTCGGGTTCGTCCCTAGGTACGTTTTGACAGTTAGTATGAAATACAAATCTTTGAATTTTTCGGCTTTTCTGTACTATAATATGCATGTATTGTACATATAAACCTTCTCTTGAATCACTCATCTATTGGTGAAAACTGCATTAGAATCCGTTAAGTAGTTTAAAAGATCTAAGTGAACAAACAGCCGAAGCGACTTCATTTCATACTATGTAAAGAAGTAGCACATAAGCTACTGCTACCTAGTGACCCCGAGCAGAACAAGAGTAAATCACTATTTTCAAAAATTGAAATACATGAAAACACTCACTAATAGCATCAGCTTGGGCCAAATTCGTATAGAAGGTGATTGCCGGACTCCTGAGGAAGTCTGGTGAGTATATGAGGACTATGTACCGACACCGCTCCAGTATGAGGCGGGAAACTGGCGCTACTTTAGTAGCATGACCCACTAGAAGATCTTCTTCTGTACACATCTGGAAAACGTATAATGATAACTATACTTAATATTATAAAGGCACAAGTTTAGTATATGGGACGCGGCCCCTGGCGGAGTGGGTGGTATTTTTGGACAGGGGAGGTGACAAGGAGCCCAAATATATAAAAAATATTTTAAGGAAACGTAGGAGTAAAAACTTATTGAGACTTTTTGAAATGAACACTTATCTACAATTTTTATCATTTATTTACTTAAAATCGCAACAAATAATTACTAATAATATTCTTGTAGGAATTCTTTCATATAGAAATGGAAATACAAATTAATCTTTTTGCAACAATTTCCATTAGAATAAAAAAAAACACCCATCTGTATATTAAAAAAAAAAACTTTACACTCAAAACAGTTCCTTACCTTCAGCCCTTGCGTCTTCATCCGGCTGACCACTTCATCCACAAACTCCTTATCCTCCCTTGCATACAACACATAAGCGTGATACTTCTGTGGAAATCCCAACAGTTTGTCATCGTAAGTTATCAGGTCTCTATCATCGCCATCCCATGATACAATCTGTTGACCTCCTCCTCTCACTGGAAAATATCATGTAAATTTTATTCTTACTATACAAAAATTTTTGCATATATACATAAAAATCATCTATACATCTATACAGATAAATAAAATTTAAGTGTCTGTTTGTAATGTCAAAATACAGCTTTTTACTAAATGCTTATGAAAGTATATACTAGGTATGTATAAGAAAAAAACAATTTTTAAATTGTTTGTCTGTCAGTTTATTCCGGGTAATCTAAGAAACGGCTGGACTAATTTGGATGGAACTTTCACTGGAAAGTAGCTAATGTTATAAGGAGTAACTTAGGCTACTTTTATTTTAGAAAAAGAATTAGGATTGTCGCTAATTAAAAATACAAATAAAAATCTTACAGCAATGTCTATACAATATACATATTGCTTACGCAGATAACAAACGAGTTTAGAAATGATAGCTCAATGAACTTATACTATTGTTTTGTTTTTGATTTTTGATACTATCCATATTAAGTATTTGTAAAATTGGTGACAAATTTCAAGCAAAGAGAAAGAAAATTACAGGCAACACCATATTATAATACCATTCAGTAATTTCAGATATTTTATTAAATTTTTCTTCATAAATTAATTTGTGCTTTGTAGAATAAAATATAACAATTTCTAAAGTATTATTAATATACCATATCAAAACTCATATCTAATAAAAATAAATTTAAACATAACATATTATGACATCGCTAATCAATGTAATAAATATGATGAATTAATTATTATGATAAGAAAATCTGTGGCCACTTTCAATAGAACATTGATAAGTTATAGCTTTATAAGGAGTATTAAATATTTGCATTGACTATTAATATATTCATTTAAAACATTTAGTATCTATATGTATAACAAAAACAACGATAATAACTAAAACAATGTAATACTGTGTCACCGTTATTAACACCCTTCCCACTAAATAATACAATGGCAATAAACTTAATCCTACACATATTAAACAAAGCACAGCAACAAAATCAAATATATGTATATGACAAGAACAAAAAAAAAAAAAAGAAAAAAAAACAGTCAAATTTATGCAAATAAAACCCTTATTGTCATCGAGAGAAGGACAGGATTTTCTATTAAAAAATACTGATATCTATGAATTTGTTGATGAATCACAAATTAAAACCAGGTAAACAATTGCAGACCAGGTAAACATTACAAGGGCTTGCGATTTTTTTTTCAAAATCTAATAATTCATATCTTCAGAAAGAAAAAAAAACATCTCTGAAAAATTTCAGGGTCGCTTAAGAACAGATAAAAGTAGTTTATAAATATTCTCTTTAAAATGAATCAAGGTCGATTTTTGTAGCTTTCGAGATATTTCAAAATTAAACTTGAAAAACTGCAAAAATGCTATTAAAAAATAATGAAATTTTGAATTTTGAGTAAATTTTGAAAAAAAATAAAAAAAAATTTCGTTAGTAAAACTTTGTTATAGAATGAAAGAAAACTTCTGACCAAACATCATCTAAATTGGTAGGGGCAATTCAAACTATTGGTTGATTTGACATGGAATGACCTTTTTAAGAGATAAAAAATAATAAGTATTATAAAGACTGTCTCTAAAAATTATTGTAAATCATATTAACTGACTCATTTATTTTATAATTTGACTAATACTACTGTATTGTTTAATATATTGAGAGTATATGATTATCTAGTGTTATGAGGATAATTATATTTTTTTAAATATAGCCTGGGAATATTGTTGAAAATTTCACATCCATGTAATGTAAATATATATAAAACATTTAAATAACTTTTATATATATGAACGTTATTAATCAAACTTATTTCAACACAGTGTAAAAATATAGCCAATAATCCATAACAGTAGAAAAAAAAATTTTTTTTCTTACAATCATCTGTTTAGTGATGTGCGTGGGTGAATATTGTATATTCACTATAGTTGAGTGTGCAGAGGGATAATCAAATGTCCAAAGTTGCATATATTTATAGCACAGCATATACTTTAATACACTGGACAACTGGGGTTCATGGTGCAATACAACTGTTATATAGCCAAAATGTGCACGTCAGGACTACCACTACAACAGTACCTACTAGAACTATTACTATACTAGTACTTTGAAATTAGTTTTATCATGTATCTACATATATTGAGATTGTATTATATTATATCCATATATTTTAAGTAAGAATTCTTAAATATTAAATCAATAGTAAAACTTATTAATATAATATACCTATAAGCTTGTCTTGTCTGTGTAATTCCACTAAGTCTTCACATGCATCGAATCTGTCCAATAATTGCAGAAAACTTAAAAGTGTTCCCACAGTTGCCAACCCATCTATTCGTTGGGACCATATGTCCAACACTCTGGCTGTTTTGTCGGCATAATCATTTATACTAGCTGCAACTTCTGTAGATATTTGAGCGAGTGATGCTAGGCCTCTCCAATCTCTATTAATTTAAATTAAATTTTTGAATATGAATTGTTTTTGTTACACTTTGATAAAGAAATATAGATAGTTTAAAGATCATTGATAATTCAATATACAATAACTAAGTTAAATGAATTATGAATTTTTTCTATGAAAAAATATGAGGTCATGCCCTTTGTCTCTTATAAAATTTATTTTGTTCATTGAATAAACTGTTACTTCTTAATTAATTTAAATGTTGTTTTGGACATTGTTATGTGATTTATTATAAAGTATCTTGGATTCAATTCATTCCTTCGTTGATCTTAGAAATATAAAAATCAATGTCTGACTAATTGTAAGATATTCTTATTATTATTCAAAACACAAGTTTGGAATAAATAATGTTTTGCTTGTAAATCACAAATTATGGTGTTTAATTGCAACATTTATATGTTAATGTTAGTACAGTATATTTTGTTATATGTATTTCCTTTTACTATGGTTATTATTCTTATACATAATATTGTTTTGTCGGAGGAAAATTTTTGATAATATGATAATATTGTTAAATATTTACTGAAAGTAAATATTTAAAAAACTTCTAAAGACAACAGAGACTTAGGAATAACAAGTGATAAGTTCATGTAATTAATTAAAAAGGATTGTTGTTATTCACTAACAAGCAATTAAATCAGTTTTATCGTGTAAGTTCAGTACTCGAAGTATTGAAAGTCATTTGTAATTTAAAAATAAAAAGTTATCAAGTAAATACCTGTGTCTTGGTAGACCATCAGGACCGATGATCGGCAAAACTTTTCTTGGGTTTAAAAGAGAAGATAATATACTACGAGATTCATTTGTGAGTGCAGTCAACGGCACGGTGGTGAGATCGACGGCCATATTGCCGCCACTTTAAAACCCACTACAGTAATTTGCTTATTATTTTATTTTGGCACACTTTCATTTCGCAACGTTTCTTAGAAACGCAATTAAAGAAAATCAGTAATATATTTGTGTGTAGTGTGTACTCTATCGTGTTATCACAATTCTAGTAGTGCTGCGCCTGCGCTTAGTTGTCCACAGACTAAATAGAGTTAGGGACTTCCTATTAGGGATATTCGGTATACATCGATGCATTGAAAACATCGATATTTACAATGCAATACATCGAATCGATCCGATGTTTTGAAATGCTTTCGATATACTCGATGAATCGATGTTTTTTCAGTTTTTAGTAGAAAAACATCGAATCGATTATAACCAATTAATTTCATAAAAACTCAAGTTCGACCACTAAAATTTTACCTAAAATTTTTTTTCCTATTTCTTTATTTAAAAAAGAAAAGTTTATTATTCAATAGTGGATTGACAATCTAATGTCGTTGTGGCCAACGTGTACTAAAAAATTATGTTGGCAGCACTGCGCACGAGTCAGTGACAAAAGAAACTGCTCATGTTATGTCGGCCAGCGAGCTTCTATGTAAAAATGATCTCTGTGAGAAGATCACCACAAATTAGTCCAAAAGAGCTGGAAAACGGTGAAATCTGATGATTCTATTTCAGATGAACTATCTATTTACTTACGGAGCCCAGTAGGCACATTAAATGAGAACCCTTTAGAAATTTGGAATAATCTCAAGATTCAGCACCCTAAACTTGATACAATTGCATACAAATACCATGGTAGGAACTTCAGTCCCATCTGAACGTTTGTTTTCTAAAGCGGCATAAATCGTCAATCAACAACGAAACAGACTGAAAGGCAAACGTTTAAATAAACTGTTGTTTTTGCAAAGTCTCTCAAAAGAACACTGGGAATAGGACATGGCAGACTAAGCAAAATTATTGCGGATGTTTTTTTTTTGTCCTTACGTAAATAACAATAAAGATTTTTCTAATTTTTTATAAAAAAAAATCATTTTTTTTTTATATAACAATGTTTAAATTATTGATGGTTTGCATGAAAAATTGTGTTGAAGTAGCATATCTGGTCTGTGTCCCGTGAATTCTATTTCCTAGTTTTTGTTGTTATAGCGGCAACAGAAATGTATAACCTGTAAAAATTTCAACTGTCTAAATATCACGGTTCATGAGATACAACTTGGTGACAGCCGGACAGCGAAATCTTAGTAACAGGGTTCCGTTTTCACCTTTTGGGTACGAAACCCTGAAAAAGTACTCATTGCGTACAAAATATCGATGTTTTCACCCGATACATCGAAAGACATCGATGTACAGTTCTGATTTATCGAATCGAAAAAAACATCGATGTGTTTTCACATTCACCCCTACTTTCTATTCATCTAATACATTGGTTTCTATTTCAGTGTTACTGGTAGGCATGGAAATGATTGCTACTTTTAATTTATTTTCATATGATGAAATTACGTATATTTTTCACAGTGATTTCACCTGCTACTTTTCACAGGCAATGATTTTTAATTTCGACGTTCTGCGGTGTCACACTTTATATTATTTGCTTTAATAGCAAATAATTTGAAACCAGTCAATCACCTCAGGAGATGTGTTAAGAGAAGTTAATATGGCAATTAGTATATCAAATTCAACAGTGTTACAGGCATTACTGAAGTCTAATAGTACCATCACGGTAACCTTCTGACTGTCCATACCCTCTCTAATATCATCAGCGATTTTGACCAATGCAGTAGTCGTACTATGACCGATGCGGAAACCGGATTGAAAGGAGTTTAAAAGATTATGATTAAAAAGAAACGTGCTTAACTGTCGATGCACAAGACGCTTCAGTACTTTCAGCGATCATCTTTTGATAACATTTTATAATCCAGAAAAGTCTCTCGCTGAAAGTGAAAAATATCTGAGTTCCATACATTATTGTTTCAAATACCTTAATATTTTAAACTGCTGCATTAGAGCAAAAAATGCCATATACGAGGTTTTTGACTAAAATAACTGTTGGTTAAATAATTTGTATAAAGGTAGAGTATTTTAAGGTTTTGAAAAAAAAAATATTTAAGTAAAAGGTTATGTACATATCTTTATTGCATAATTGCAGTAAAAAGAGTATTTCCCGCCAGCTGTAAAAAGTTCATGGATATAAAAATTGATGCGAATATAAAAATTTAAATAACCTATAAAATTTTTAAATAAAACCATCTTTTAGGATTTTTTTGCGGATTTATTTAGATTTTTGGTTCTCGACCTTTCGAATGCTTACGTGAAAGACTGCTGTAAAACTATCGAAACGTCGCAAACCAAAAATCAAAATAAATCCGAGCAATAATCCAGAAAGACAGGTTTATTTAAAATCTCAAATATTCGCGTAAATGTAACAAAGTATTATGCGAACTTTTAGAAACTTGTTGAAAATGTCTTTTTAAATTATCAACAAAAACATCAAAACTAACAAAGTAAGTACAATATATTTTTGTCTGTATAAATTATAATACTCAAACCATTGATATACAAAAACCCAAGACACACAATTTGCGCCATAAATGTCCTAAAAAAAAGCGCACATAATTATGCACTCTTGTCAAATAAAAAAGAATGAAATATTGTATATTCAATAAACAAAAATGTAAATTGCTATGTTTTTGTAATACATATATACTTATTAGAATATTTAACGAAAATTATTTGATTTTTATTTAATTTGTTTTTTACTTCACATACTGGTCGATATTATTATACAACAAATTTTAATACCCACTTATTTGCTATAAGAACAGTATACAGTAAAATATTACAATCTCCTTCTAAATTTGGTCGCCTAATAACATGACTCTGTTCCTATTTAAATGGAGTCGTTATCATTATACATTTTTTAAATTATTTCATTTTTTTATTAAATATGTTTAGTTAAAAAATAATCTGTTTTCATTTATAACGATTAATTCATTACTTGATATTTTATTTAGTATAATAGAAAATAAATATAACAACGACTCTACTCTAGGTTTTATTCTGCCTGACACTCGAAGGAGATTGTTTTTCGGGAAAAAAAATTTAAAAATGTGGCATACCCCACCACATTATTGTCAAATTTGTATTAACACAATCAGAATTTACAATTTTTTGGGGTTTTTATTCGTTGTTTTGCCTTAATGCCACTTACGACGTCACTTTTTAAAGAGATATTTGTTAAGAAATGTGCACCTATGTTTTAATATATCAATGACTTTCATAAAAAAAAATTAATACATAGATATAAAAAAAACTATAGCTGTCCATCAATGAACTGTTCCATGTGTATTTTTGATAGTTTACTTTCTATCCGGCCTTCAAACTCAGCAGGGGATTCCCAGTGCCACATGACCCTCTCCGTATAACCGCTTATCATATCTAATTGTGCTTTTTCCGGAATGACATAAACACTTTGTGATTTTTTATCCGGTCCCATGTAGTAGTAGTACTTACAGTTGTACGTTTTAGAAATTCGTGCGATCCAAGGTTCTGGAAAAAAAATGAAGATTAATTCTAATTATTTGTTTATAAAATAAAGAATATTTTATTTGCATAAAGAGATGCAGTGTTGACAAAATTTATGGTTAAGGTCCCCTTTTAAGGAAGTAATTCATGCCTGTATTAGGAGACCCTTCCATAGCAAAATGTACAGATTTTTTCCTTGATCTAATTATACAATGTAATACTTTAAACTTAAATAGGTAAGTTGAAAAAAAACTTATGTAAATGGAAACGTTAGATAATAAATCAAAGGGTGATGTGTGGTGTGTAACCTTTCTTTTAAAGTAAATGAATAAAATATTGTATTGTATAATAGATTGCCCACAGTTCCGCTCAGGTCTTATTAGCGATTATAAAAATACTGCCATTTTAATCTATCAAAATATGAATAAAATTTCACAAAAGTTATATACATTGCTGAAATCGGTTGAGACTTTACAACGGGAAGTAAAAAGCAAACACAGTCATGAACACCTACATATTGAAGAAGAGACCGCTGAATCATTTTAAAAAAGATTACTACCGAGATTATTGTTAATCGTGTTGGAAATTATTCACACACGAAAATATCAGATGTGCAAGACCCGAGATTTGAACCCCAACCTATATCAAAGCGAGTATGTTACCACTGGGCACTGGGCTACCACAGCTTGTTAAAAAAGTACGCGAATGTTATATTTATATTTAATACTAGCGACTTATCTTCGCTTCGCTTGGATGCGTACCTAGCTACGTTTTAATTTTTTTAAGCAGAACCCAAATACTTTTTTGTAAATAAAAGTAGCTTTAATTGTACAACAATTTTATTTATCCGTATAGATTACATACCTTTAACTTCTTTTATGAAAAGTATAGATGTGGCATCGTAGAACATTTCATTCCTGTCATCTCGCTTGGGTATGTCTAATGTTAGGGATTTTGTGGCCCTCTTCATTTCCCGATATTCCAAATTGGCGATGGCACTTGAGAATGACTCCATGTTGAAGAACCGTTTGCATCTGATTGGCAGGCTTTGTGTGTTGCTCGGCTTCTCCAGAGCATTGCAAAACATATTACACTGATTGATGCTGAAATAAACAAAACGAGCATATATTAATTCTGATGATGATGTTCTCCTGACCGATTCCGGCCACGGCGGCCAATCTCATTGAAACTAGCCAACTGCGCAGGAGATATTATAGTGCTCAAGTGTACGCGCAGACACAAGTGCACTCTCTATTCCTATCACTCTCATACTCCGGTGGGACGACCACTCGACACGACCGGTGAGAGTTAAGGCGCAGGACCGACGGCTTTACGTGCTCTCCGAGGAACGGAGGTGAAACACCTCTAACTTTCCAAGTCCGGGCTGTTACTGAGGCTTAATATACAGAAAGACTCAATAACTAAACTTGGCCCGACCCGGGACTCGAACCCAGGACCTCCGAGTGTGCAGCCGTACATGCTAGCCACTACACCACCGAGGCAGTTAATTCTATATGTATAATAAAGTAACTGATCGCTGTCTGTAAATTTTATTTGAGAAAAACTATTATCGGTGGTCTTTATAATCCAAAACAATGATTTTTAGATTTTTTGTCTGTTTCGTGCGTTTGTGCGCGCTAATCTCAGAAACGATTTAACCGATTTGAGTGTGGTTTTCACTAATGTATTGCGGTAAACTTCACTTAACATTTAGTATTCGTTTTATTTCAATCGGTTCATAAATAAAAAAGTTATGTCAATTTATAGAATTACCTAGTGGACGAACCCGTGCGAAGCGAGTGTGAGCCGCTAGTTTATGAATATATATTGTGATAAAGACATGAGGCATACTATACACATTGATATACGAAACTCAAAATACACAATTAGGGTCTTAAAAGTGTCTTCAAAAGAAGCGCACCATTCGAAATTATGCGCTTTTTTCAAATTTCTTTTGTTCATTCAAAAAAGTACTTTATGTGATGTGCGTAAGTGCTAATTTGTGTTTAGACAATTAGAACTATCGATTTTTGGATTTTACTCTTTAGTTTGTCTTGACGTCACATGTCGACGGCTTTTTGAAGATATTTTTGTTAGGAAATTTGTTTCTTTTTTAAACGAAACGACGTGTATATTAATTTAGTCATCCAAAAAGCAATGAAAAAAAACGTAATTCAATTTCGAATTGTGCACTTCTTTTTGCAGTGCATTTTTGAGACGCTAATTGTGTCTTGAGTTTATGTATATTAATGTTTATGAATGTAATAAAAGTTAGTCATAAACATAAGAAAAAAACAATAAAAAATAAAATTTTCCTCACTTTTATCGTTTTTCCAACCTTATTAATGTAGATTGAATAAAAATATATAACAATTTTATACATACCGTTCAGTCAACGACAGAGACGAGATATCGACTCCGCCAAGTGTCATGGCGTCTATGACGTGCATAGCCTTACTATGGACCTGCTTCTTGCCCAGCCCCCGGTACTCGCGGGCAATCTGAAATAAAATAAATAACCATTGCTTAATACAACAATATAATTTACTAGCGAATCACCCTCGATCCGCTTGGGTTCGTCCCTAGTTACGTTTTAAAGTTTAGTATAGATTTCTCAGAGATGCAATATTTTCTTGCAGTAAAAAGTATCATATATGTTGACCCGGATAACCAGCTATCATCATACCAAATTTCATCAAAATTTGTCCAGTGGTTATCACGTGAGGCGTTCCCAGACAGACAGACAAAACTTTTAAAAACTATACATTTAGTCTCTCTATCGATAATAATGACAACTTCAATAAGATTTTCAAAAAAATTATTTAATGTACAGATTCGACTCGTTAGAATTTTGTTATATATATAGATATATACACAATAAACATATAGTGATATTAAATATAAATTATTATTTTAAGGCTCTTACCTCTCCATACAGAAGCGTGTTTGCAGGCAGTGTAATATTTAAGTTGGCGACACTTCTCCAAGTGTCATTTTCCAGCTGGTATACTTGTTTTCCTCCACATGCTGACAACATAAAAAATAAATATCTATACATATAATAAAATTGTAACTAAGTCGAATCTGTACATTAAATATTTTTTGAAAAATCTTATTGAGACATTATTATTGATACAGAGGCCGAATCTATAGTTTTTAGAATTTTTGTCTGTCTATCTGTTACCGCATCACGGAAAAACCACTGGAGGGGTTTTGATGAAATTTGGTATGATGATAGCTGGTTATCTGGGTCAACATATAGGATACTTTTTACAGCGAGAAAATATCTCGTCTCTGAGAAATCGATATTAAACGTTAAAACGTAAGTAAATATGTTAGGACATTAACACACAGCACCATCTAATTCCATGGTTAGCTACGAGGCTTGTGTTATGGATACCAGATAGTTGATACACTACATATATTTAATTTTAAAAACATACATATTATAAATATAAACACCCATGACTGAAGTACAAACATTCGTGCACATCACACAAATGAATGCCCCCAGCGAGACTCGAATCCACGACCGCTGGCACAGCAAGTCACTACAAACTGAGCCAAACGTGTCGTCAAATAGTTTTAAATTGACATAGGATTTAAATTTAAAATATGAACTTGATTCAATTCAGATTTTTGTACATATTTCTAAATATATGTATTATTAGTATGCGTCATTTAGAGGTACTATGATTAAAGTTATTTAACTTTTATGGCCGCAGTATTAACTAGAGTGCCACCATACATGCTAGCCACAAAAATATTTTAATAGCGAATCGATGAAATCGGTGTGAGATAAATGATATCGCCTTTTTTTTACGTAAGTAATACATTTACACATGTACATGTACATACATACCTTTGCAAAAGATTATGTTGAGACTCAGCGATTAGGAAAAAAAAGTAATCACCCACTAAAACCCAACAGGACCCCGTCTAAGGCAAGCTAGGATCACTTTTCAAATACCCTCAAAAAAATATGTTCCTATTCACCTATAAAGATCCTCAAGTTGGGGCTCCCTTTCCCACTGCTGAGGAAGGTGAAGTGCCAGTCGAACACATTGGCGAAGGTGTTGGGCAGGTCCCCGGCGGCGAGTTGTCTCGGAGGTTTGCCCAACACGCCGCGCTTGAAGGTGGTGGCGTCGTGGGCGCGCGGCAGCAGGTGGCGCAGCGTCTCGTCCGCGTTGCGCCGCTCCGGCTTCGTGCGCACTTTGTCTGGGAGCTTTTGGGTTATTATTTATTTATAGTTTAAAAAAAAAAAGTGTCTATGTGCACATCTGTGTGTGTGTGTGCTTTTGTGGGTGTGTGCGTGTGATGAAATACATAAATACTATATTTTATATGAATTATTCCCAAGGAGGTTTAATCTCAGGCAGGCAGCTGGTCGTAAAACTTTTGCCAAATCCTATCAGCAGTATGGAAGATGTACTATGCCGACCCCAAGTGATTGGGAAATTGGTACTGGGTAGGAAGATGATGACTACATTATTATAAAGCACTTCATTAGTTATGAAATATTGTAAAATAATAGTAAAAAAGGTAACACGCAAAATATTTCTTACTTGCCACAATTTCAGGCATTGCGTTTTCATATCTGCTTGACTCTTCTCCCTCAAGCTTTTATTATTACTGAATTCCCCTATTTTTAATAGATTTTTTATTTGCCTTTCGCCAAGCCTGGAAATATTTTTAGTCAATATATTTGTTAAACCTTATATAATATACAAATAACATAGACAAAAGTGCTTATTTTACACAAATAACCAATGTATTTTTTTTGTTTTATGCTTATTCATTAAAACTATTTATTGTATGTTATTATTTGTATATAATTATTAATTATCAATGTTTGTGGAAGGTAATTATTTAATACCAGAGACTCAACCTCGCTTCACTCGGGTTTGTCCCTAGGTTGCATCCCCATACAAATTGTCATCTCCATTTTCACCCACTTAAGGGATGATTTTCAGGATAAAAATTATCCTATGTCCTTCCCAGGATCTCGAATAGTCTTCATACCAAATTTCATCTAAATTGGATCAGCTGGTTTTTAGTTTATCCATTACAAACAAACATAAAAATCATTGTTTTATTTATTTATATATATATATATATATATATATATATATATATATATATATATATATACATTGGTATATATATATGTAGATCAAAATTTACACAAAAAAATAAAAGAACATTATTCAATACATACACACAGTTGCTCTTGTATATATACTCGTAAAACTCTCTATCCTCCTGGATAACCGAGAAGGGCACCATTTCTGTGACATCCTCCTCGCCGCCACTGTTACTCCACAGTATTGAGTTAACAGAAAACAAGTGTTTTTCCGCTGACTCTGTACCATACTTTTTCCATTTACATATTAAGTATCTCTCAGAATTAGCGGGTCTCGACGTTACTGGTTTAAAAATACAAACTGCAAAGAAAATGTATAATTAATTATTTGAGATGTAGTATCAATATTTTACTTAAAATATTTAATTTTATCTCTATTCTTTCAGTATATTTAGTTATTGTTAGTGGCAAATAATGAGAAAATCTGAAAATGTATATAAAACATAATTTAAAACAATTAAAACAAAAATGTAACCTACCTTTCTCAAAACATCTATACATAATGTAAATAAGACTAACGCTAAAATGGGTGAAAATGTCGAACAGCTTCACAACAAAATGGCCACCAGTCCTCACCAGCATCAAGGCGGCTAAACACTGGCAGAGATACAGCTGTTTCGATAATATTTCCTGTATTAATTCTTGACCTTCTACAGAAAAGCCCTAAAACAAATAATATTAAAAAAAATATAATAAAATGTGATTTTAGTAGAAAATATATTTTTTTAATAAAATAAAAACATACTCCATCAGCCATAAGGAAGTGAACACCTTTGTCATCGGTTTGTTTTAAAACATATTCTTTCAAGGAAGTCAAGTTGGCTGGATCATATATATTGCCATCTTCTTTTTCACCATAATAAGGGTTGAATGTTTCTGGTGGTCCAGCAAAAAAATCCCCTAATTTGAAATCATTTGAGGCTTTCAAAGTGAACCCAAAACCTAAAATAACATATCACTAAATAACAAACTTTATGTAAAGTTTGGGCCAGAGGCTACATTGACAGTTGAGACTTTCGATTATTAATAAGGGGTAAATATTTGTTTTCTTTTCTTTCCTCAACAGACTTCCAAAAAGGAGGAGCTACGAGGCTTGTGTTATGGATACAAGATAGTTGATGCACTACATATATATAACTTTAAATACATATATATTATAAATATGACTGGAGTACAAACATTCACACTCATCATACAAATGGAAAACCCTAACGGGACTCAAACCCGCGACTGCTGGAACAGCAAGTAGGATATACACTACAAACTGAGCCAAATGTGTTGTCAAATGTTATAAATACATTTATAATTGTTATAATTACATTAATAAAATTAATGAACATAGCCTTTTAATTTATAACATAATTGTACTATTAAAACAAACATAATTAATCACCTTTTGCTTTCCATCCTTTTCTAAATAATACATATTCAGAGAAACCACCAGGTCCCGCACAGACATCAGCAAAGTACAATAATTCTCTCTTATCAAGTACTGGGCTCCCATCTTGTTTTTTAGGATTTGTAAACATAAAATCAAAAACAGCATCCATATTAGCCATTTTTACTGCTGCTCTATTTAAAAATATCACAGATCCTATGGTCTCATAAGGATTACTGCGAGTTCGAGCATTTCTCATATCTTCTCCATCTAAATCATCAAATATTGACTGGAAAAATTAAAAAATGTATATATATATATACCGAAACTAAACTTATAAGGTTACCAGTTTACTAATACTTACTTTAGAATGCAAAACTCCTTTCAATATTTGTGGATCCACAAAATCAGTCTCATCATCTATATTCAATTTTTTTTGTCCTTGCTTTAACCATTTCTCTAAAATGTCTATAGAAAGTGTTTCATCTGGTGGAGAAGGCATCCAAGCCTAAAACCATTTAAAAAAAAGCAAATAAAATATATATTAACTGCAGTTCTCTAATTAATAATTTCTGCTGAATTATTATGTTAGAAGTACTTACAACTTCCTCTTTAGCTTCAGGAGTAGATTCATCAGGTGACCATTTAAAATCTTGTGGCACCTCCCCAACAATGGAGGGTTTTAAGCCCAAACCTCTACGACCTTTTTGGGTAGAAGCTTCTACAGGCTCCACTCTACCATGCTCAAATTTACCCAAACCTTTTCCAGGCTTGTGACCCATACTGCTCATTATTTTTTTAGATATTTCAGAATATTCACTATTATATGCATTAGATTCATTGTAATCTTCTGATGTTTTGTTATAAAAGGCATTTTCATTTGACATTTGGAAGCTTGAACGAACAGAATCTTCTTCTCCTTCCACGTCTTTAAAGCCAGGCCGAAAGTCATCATAATGTTCATTAGGGGAAGAACAATTTTCACTTAAACTGCTTCTACTCAATCTAGTTACTCTCTCGGGGCTATTTTCAGTATAGCTTCTAGTTTTGCCCCTTTCCTCAATATGAGTAGATTGTCTTTCTGGGGAATCTTCATCAGAATCTTGCAAAGCTACATTAAATAATCATTATTTAGTAACACAACAATAACCGACTATTAGAAAGTAAGCATTTTTATTAAAAAAAAAGGAAATTAATATAATTTTACAAATCCTAGTATCATAAACATTGAATATTTTGCACACACTAACCTGAACCATGAGAAGTTGTTGAGGAGGCACCATAAGTATCTGTACGTGGACGTTTACAAGGTACAGAACTTTCGTCGCTACTGGAATCATCGTCAGATCGATCTATATATTACAGGTAAAGTGTTTTTAAATGGAATTATGTTCTTAACACTTGTATTTATTAAGCATTATAATATGTTTGCTTACCCGAAAGATCCATGGTAAATGCCGATCAATTATATCTTGTCAACAATATATAGATAGAAGAATATCTAACGTTCTCTATTTTTAATTAATATACACTATAAATCAGATATTTTATATTAACAAACTTAAAATATTTTCTCAAAATAAAGATGAATAGAATGATAAAATGAAAAATCTGAAAATGAGATATGATTTGTTAGTTATTTTTATAGTTCGGGTAGGATTGAATCGATTCTTTTAATTAATGGAAGAATCGATTTTTTGGGCCAAAAAGATCGATATGGTACTGAGTTGATCACGTGAAACGATATTTCACCTAAGAGAATCAAGATTTGATTGTTTCTGTTTTAATAAGCACTATAAAATTACTTACAATCAGTTAAATGTAACCAAACACGTAAATTAATGAGTTTCTCACTTTATTACTCAAAAACTGGCGAGATGGCTGTGTGCTCACTTTCCTTCGCCTCTCCTTAAAGGTTAATTCAAGAAATAAATTAAAAAAAAATGGGTGCGTGTAACCTTTCCGAGCGTTTAAAAGTAAAACTTCTTTGGCAAATATTGCAATTAAATTAAAATAAATTAACAATTAAATAAGGCATATTAGGCATGTTACAATCATATGGTTATGGAATGTCATATAGGGAAAGAATATAATATAAAATATTATTATACATCATCTATCTGTCAGACAAATAACAACGGTTACCATGACAATAATTAATCATGTATTCTATCTCATTTTCTCGCCAGCTTAATCCTATACACTTATGTGTTTTTCACTTTCTCGTGTCGCATTTTCGTTTTATCGAGTTTCAAATCACAATGATTCTAAAGAAGTTTCACTTCAATTACGTTTGTAATCTGTGTTTTTTTTGTATTTGTTGACATTGCGTCACTTGTTTACTTAAAATAAATCACTGAATTGAAACACTATTTATCAAACCTTAATAATGTTTTTAAATAAAAACATCCATATGAAACATCCTTATTATGTATAGGTATATTGTAAATACATATTTAAAAAAGATCGATTTTTGAGAAATCAATCATTCGGACCTCGATATTCTTGTGAATCGATTTTTCGATTTTGATTTGAATCGATTTTAGAATAGATCCTTTTCTGGTACTCGTAGAATCGGCATCCCATAACACCATGGATGACAAATAAAATAAGATAGGGATCTAAATAAACCACAGAGTATGCAGAGAAAATACCTTGATGTCGGATTTCGTTTGAAGTTGGATGAGATTTTAAAAGAATTGGTTTTTCCCTACGTTTTTACTTAAATTAATAAAACTGAACTTCAGAGTATATTATTTAATATTAGGTTATAAAGTACCATTCATTACAAATAAAGCTTATGATGGATAGTGGCAAAACTCAATCAATAATCTGACTTTTCATTTTAACTTCGTGTTGAATAGGGCCCAGCCTGTAAACTGTATAGAAATGCTATGGCCCAGTCTGTGAGTCGTGACTCGTGGGATGTTTAAAATTTTATTTTATTATTCGTCTATGGATGGTATACTACTTTGTATTGTCTCTGGTAGATAAAAAACCTTTGTATGACCTTTATATAAATTACGATACGTGTATAATTGGATCAAATCGCAAACTTGAAACTATTTACTATATAGAGATTGGACCAAAATTTTAAATCGCAATTCGATATTGTGCCCGAATGTAACCCAAACCCACAGTTTACGTTTTTGAGCTCGATAACAGATTGAATTCCGGTCCGTTACCGACTTCGAAAATATCTGATTAGGTATCTATTCTAAATGAAAACCTCCGTTTAGTTATATTTTACATTTTAGTGCCTGGAAGTCTGTTTTTATTTTTTGTTAAAAAGTTTCAAACCTCGACTAGCAATATAATAGAGATCACAATATGATTTTATAAATGCAATATTTTTAGCTAGATCTTTAATTTTTACAAAATAAAGTAAAAAGAAAACCAATTTATAAAATTATATATTTTTATTCATATAATATCTATGTTATAGTTAAACTGTATATTCTGACAAAATTATCACTACCGCAGCTGGCCAACATGAGTTCGTTGCTTTCATCCTCTTCTAGTCTTGGTTTGAAAAACAGCCTTTTGACTGTTAAATGGTGAGCGATGCTGAAAAAAAACATTTTTTTTTAAATTTACCATTTTGTAAAGTGAAATAAATTATCTTTTATTATTCCTTGGTCAAGTGTATATAGCTGTTGTTATAAAAACCATTCGTCATTGTTACCGTAGCTTAAATCTCGTTTTTTGTAATATGAAATATGCAAATCCTGTGTATTAATTTTGCAAGCTATTTTTATTTTATATGTGTTTGATTGTCATTTGTTTTGTGGACCAATAAACATAAATAAATAAATAAATTGTAAGTCGGTCTCGCGTAAAAGGTTCCGTGCATTTAAAAAAAAATCATATAACAAGCATATAATAATTATGCAAGAATTTTGTTTGTAATGCTTGTGCTGAGCTACGTATAGAGATAAAAATATTTATTAACAAAATAAATATTAATAATTTAAAATTTTGAAAATATTCACTCATATAACAATTTCATTTAATATCACAAAAAGATATGTTAAGAATCTCACCTATTATTCATCTCATGCAACAGACTCCATGTACAATCAAATCTGTATATACTGATTACACCAGATTCAAACCCGGCCGCAATGATTCGCTCACTTTTCATCGGCGCGAAATCCAATGCTGTCACTGAGCTATTGGGGACTTCTAGAGCTTTACCTAGAACAAAATTACAACTATTTTTAAGGAATTTAAAAAAATAAGAATAACTCAATTAACAACGCACGCTCGCACGTTTTTATACGCCTGTGTTTGTAAGCGCGCGTGTGTATACACTACAGTACCGCAGGGCTTAGAACCGGTTTTAAAAAAACGGTTAATTTCGGTAATATAATGCTTTAAACATCGCTCATTCATTAACCAACCGATTAATGAATGAGCGATGAAATAAAAACGAACGGTTTAGTAAACCAAAATTATAATGGTTAACGGTTATTCTTAGAGGAAGGTAAGACTTCGGTTTTGGTACAGAAATAAACCGGTTAATTCATTCATAAGTAAGAAACGTACATGTATCCTTAACTAAGCAATTCACCATTAGCTAAGATTCGCCAAATTTAAACACACAAAAACTCATTTCAACCAGTTAATTTAGATCATTTTAGCTAAATTAGTCAAACACTTTTCCTTTTTTTTTATTTTGCTTCTTTGATATAACAGAGAGACATACATACATATTATATTATAGTACCTACCTACAAGAGAATAATTTCTTAGTGATGAATCACTACATGTGTCTGATTTCGACCATACGCAAACCTGGAAATTATAATAAAACATATGAATCTTAAAAATGTTAAGTTACGCCATACAAGTTATAAACTTATAAGTAAAAATGTCACTCTAGAGCAGGAATTCCCAAAGTGGTCGACATTAACGAAAACTGATTTTGGGGGTCGACGAGGTCTAAAAATCGACCTCTTTTAATTAACACCAGTTCTTATTTGAAACTTTCAAGATACTGTATAAGTTGTGTTACGTGCACCAACTTGTTATAAGAATGACTAATATTTTAGTAGGACGTATCATTGCTGTACTTTTAAAAAACTCAACAAGTCGATAAGCGTGCACAAGTTCGCACAAGATGAAAAACTCGGCAAGTCAATAAGCGTGCACAAGTTTGTGTAAGAGAATGTGTTCGAGCGTATGTAGGTACAAGTCTTTCAAGCACGTTTTGGAGTACAGTAGAAACTCGATTATCCGGACTAATTGTTGTCGATAGGCATTCGGATAATCGAAAATCCGGATAATCGAATGTATGAAAAAAAAACGATTTTCGTACATATTACGTAATACCTAATGTTGGAGTTTAATTAAAATCAACTAAAGACAAATCAACATTTATCTTTAAACGATAACACCATTCTCTTACGCTTTCACATTTTTAAGCGCAAACGTGACAAGTAATGATTGTTAGCTATAACTTAAACAAAAATGAAAAACATGGGTAGTCCGGATAATCGCGAATCCGTATAACAGAGGGCCGGATAATCGAGTCACTACTGTAATTTGGTTATGGTATTAATTTTACTATTGGTATTAGTTCATTTTGGAACAGAGGTCTCTTGCCCAAAATAGTTTAGGAATCCCTGCTCTAGAAGTTAGATTATTTAATTATTTTATTTTATTAAAATCATATATATACAAAATAAACAAAGAGTCGGTCATTCAATCAAAAAATTTCAAGATCAAGAAATCGCTCTTTTAGCGATAAGGCCGCCTCTTGTACCTTCTTGTATATTTTGTATATTTTCTTTTCTCTTTTTGTGTGTACAATAAAGTTATTCATTCATTCAATCCTAAATTGGCTAAGTGGACACATTAATAGTAGGTATTATTATAAAAGACTATGTGGAACAAAAAAATTACTATGTTGTACAGTTATTATTACTATATAACGCCGTCAATATTTTGCAGTAATATACTCAACTTTTAACATTATTATTTTTTTATTATTAATATTGTTATTTTTTTTTATTATCACTTATGCGTTTAAAAATTTTGCTTTCGGTTTTAATGTTTTATTTTAGTAAAGTTATTTTTTTTTAATAATGTCTGACAAATTGGTTATTTTACTGTTTTGAACATAAAAATTAAAAGTAGGTATACTATTTATAAAAAAACTTCTCCCTTACTTTCCCATCTCGAGAGCCAGTAGCAAAGGTACTCCCATCAGGCGCCCACGCACAACACCATATAATCCTAGTGTGAACCCCATTAGTTTTATCCGTGTTAGCTTCTATTTCAAACCGATTCGAACCTGCTACCCTCTGGAATAGCGTCCACCGTCGGTCACGTGACACGGATAGAAGGCGTTGGCTGTCGGGGGAGAAGGCTAGTTGTGTCACTGTCAGTGTGTGTGAAATTAACTGTTGTATTTGTTGCCAGGTTTTCGTTTCCCTGAAAAAAAAAATACGGTCAAGTGCGAGTCGTGCGCACCGAATGTTTCGTATCATCACATTGTATTTATAACACACATTTAACGGCACGTCTGGCTCAGTTTGTAAAGATCGTACTTGCTGTACCAGCGGTCGCGGGTTCGAGACCCGCTGGGGGCAATCATTTATGAGATGAGCACGAATGTTTGTACTCCAGCCATGGGTGTTTATATTTATAATATGTATGTATTTAAAGCTGTATTTGTGTAGTGTGTCAACTATCTGGTATCCATAACACAAGCCTCGTAGCTTACCATGGAACTAGATGGCACTGTGTGTTAATGTCCCAACTCCCAACATATTTATAACATATTATGTGCCACGAAGGTATATTACATGAAGAATTGAATAAAACTATAGTACGAATTCCAAAACAATACTAAAAATTTGCAAAACGTGAATATTGAATATCCTACTTTTTTAATTTATATGTAACACATATTTTGATATAATTTCAACTTGACCCTCCACGCGTTCCTGAGAAAAAGGCTCCAGACAGACAGACAGACGAAGAAGTGATCCTATAAGGATTCATTTTTAACCGACTACCAAATAAGAGGAGGTTCTTAATCCGTCGGAATTTTTTTTAATGTATATTCACCGATTACTCGAAGACGCCTGAATCGATTTGGAAAAAATTTGTTTTGTTTCGAAGGGTATACTTTTCAGGTGGTCTTATTTAAATTTTATCGAAATCAGTCGAGCGGTTTTTTAATTCCTTTTGACGTACGAAATTCTAAAAATAATAAACCAACCAAATAATAACAGCGGCGTGAGCAGCCGAGGACGAGCGACACGCCGATGCCAGCAGCGCGCCGTCCGCGCTCGCTCCGAGGCAGAACACCTCGTACCCGTGCCCGTACAACTTTTTTGTTTCCGGCCATAGAGTATTTTGCATTAATGTTTCTTCTGTTGGCGGCTCTGGATGGGAATTGACAGATTAAATTATTTAATATTAGTGAGTACTCCTCGCTTCGTTCGGGTTTATCCCTAGCTTACTTCCCAATACAAATTTTCATCTCAATTTTCACCCCCTTGAGGGATGATTTCCGGAATAAAAAGTATCCTATGTCTTTCCCAGGGTCTCAAACTATCTTCGTACCAAATTTCCTCTAAATCGGTCTAGTTTCAGAACTTATTCAGTACAAACAAACAAAAATCCTTCCTCTTTGTAATATTAGTATATAGATATAATATATACGTAGTATATACGCCTGCCTCAGCTGGTCGAAACAAGTTATGCAGTGTTGACTGCGTAGTGGCTAGCATGTACGGCTACACACCCGGAGGTCCTGGGTTCGAGTCCCGGGTCGGGCCAAGTTTAGTTATTGAGTCTTCCTGTATAGTAAGTCTCAGTAACAGCCCGGAGTTGGGAAGTTGGCGGTGTTTCACCCCCGTGCCTCGGAGAGCACGTAAAGCCGTCGGTCCTGCGCCTTAACTCTCACCGGTCGTGTCGAGTGGTCGTCCCACCGGAGTATGAGAGTGATAGGAATAGAGAGTGCACTTGTGTCTGCGCGTACACTTGAGCACTATAATATCTCCTGCGCAGTTGGCTAATCTCATTGAGATTGGCCGCCGTGGCCGGAATCGGCTAGGAGAACATCATCATCATCATCATATGATAAAGTTAAATTTTCTATTCTAACTCAAATTAATAATACAACCTTGTTAAAGGAAAAACTTAGACCTTTAGGCTTACGTCAACTTGATTTAAACCATAAATACCACTTACCAAAAACTAACAATAAGTATGGAAAGAGAACTGATAACTACTTAATACCTGAATATGTTAACGAACTGCCCAGAGAACTGCAAGAAATGTATAAAAGTACCACGAAAATCAAATCACTTTTTAAAAAATATTTTTTACAAAAACAAACCGAATAAACTGAATGACTCTCTGTACCCAGATAAACCCGCGAGGTTTTCGTGGTACTTAAATTGCAAATTATAATGTATTTGTTATGTATTGGCCAATAAATAAAAAAAAAAAAAAAAAATTTACCATGTAATTCAATGGGAACGAAATATCCATCATTTTCATCCCCATTAGTTGGGTCTTCCCCGCTGAAAACAGCTTTGTTGGACAAACCCAAAGAAGGTACAGATGCTCCTTCGGGACCTGGGAATAATTGAAATAATTTCAATTATTAAATACATTTAAGTAAAATTTAAAATACATCTCGTTTAATTTTCTTGACAATATAATAATTGATACAATTTATCATCTGCAAAGGCCTATGACTTATTATTGTTATTAATTTACTAGGAACTCACACTCGCTTCGTTCGGGTTCCCTATGTTACATACAAACTTTCATCGACATTTTCACCCCCTTAAGGAATTATTTCCGGGATAAACACTATCCTATGTCCTTCCCAGGGTCTCAAACTATATTCTTACCAAATTTCATCTAAATCGGTGCAGTAGTTTCGCAGCCTATTCGGTACAAACAAACAAAAAAAATATTTTCTCTTTATCATATTAGTATATATATAAAGTAGCTATTTTGAAATCATAAAAATGTCAGAAACGAATTACATCACAATTTTTTTAGTTTTTAAATTAAAGAGGTGAATCAAATACGATATCACTTTAACTATAGCTATTCGACTTAGGTTTATTTTTTTAATTCATATTGGCCCCATATGAATAGATATAACAAAATATTACAAAAAAAATTTTTTTTTTATATTTTGTTATATCTATTCAATGTATAAAAAAAAGATAACGTAAATGTATAAAAAAAGGTAACGGCTATTTAGATTTGAGATGGTAGCTAATTAAAATTCATTTTAATTTGTTTTTTTTTTTATGTTATCAGGTTTAGACGATCTATGAACTGGTTAAAGTCTCGCACCTCTGACATTTTCTCGTGCGAATCATTTCTAACATGATTATCACTTGCCTTACGGTGAAGGAAAACATCGTGAGGAAACCTGCATTTCTGAGAGAACCTAAGATTTTCGAAAGACATGCTCAGTCCGCCCGCACTTGACCAGCATGGTGGACTATGACCTGATCCCCCTCGCATTGAAGGGAGGCCCGTGCCCAGCAGTAGGACGTTAAAAAGGGTTGAATACATACATACAGGTTTGGACTTTTCTATATAATATATTGACTTGCTTTTCAACTAATAGCTAATAATAATACTCGATTACTCTCACACTTACCTCGAACATCATCAGCCACCAGAGCATTTCCAACAATATTCTTAAAGTTTAGAATAAAATTGTGCGGGGCTTCAAACACTCTTATGACTTTCTCTTCAGCTGCAGAAGCAAAGGCGGTGGGCGACACGAGCGCCACCGACGCCATGTCGTATCCGTGCACTTGTGGACGGGATATTTCGTGCCATTCTATACCTTTACCTGGAGAACAATTAAAATTGTATTCATATTTTAAACGATCACCTTCCTAGGTACGTTTTAAATAAAATTATCTTTTCCGACTTTTTCGCAGATTTATTTTGATTTTTGGTTTCCGACGTTTCGAATGTTTTACACCAATCATGGTCACGGGCAAGACTTAAGGTTTTAGATGTCTCAAAGGCATTACCTATATAGTTTTTACAGACAGTTTATCCACAAAATAACGAAATGAATTCAAATAATTTAAAAATAAGAAAGTATTAAATCTTAGAAAGTATTACCCCTTGGTACGTTTTAACGATTAATATGACATAGATAGACTGTATATTATATATATGTACATATGTATAACGTAGGTATGATGAGTTGTTGTGGGTTTTATTATAACGTGTTTTCCTGTGGGAATGAGATAATTAAAATATGATAGAATGAAGAGAAGAGAGATGAGAATGAGATAAATAGAATTTTAAAAAAAGCTATTTAGTTTCTACTTATATGTATTATGTACACCTACCATCAGACCTGTTCCAGGGTGCATGGAGTCTAGTCGTCTGGTCGAGGGAAACACTCAGAAGGTACCTCCCTTGGCCCTCCCACTTAATATCCTCCACTCCACTAAAATGCCCTCCGATCACTACACTTGGATGCCACTGGTTTGTTTCCTACCATTAACAATGAGAAAATTAAAAAATATACAATACTTTATTCATTATGTACTAGCTTAAACATTTATTTTAATACTTTCTTAGATTTACGCAAATATTTGACATTTTAAATAAAACCATCTTTTCGGATTGGTGCCATGATTGATGTAAAGCATTTAAAACGTATTATTTTTTAATTTGTTTGTACCGAATAAGCTCCGAAACTACTGAACCAATTTAAATGAAATTTAGTAAAAAGATAGTTTTAGAACGTGGGAAGGACTTAGGATAGATTTTATCCCAGAAATCATCCCTAAAGGTGGTGAAAATAGGGATGCAAGCTTGTATGGGGAAGCAACCTAGGATTCATTCCTAGGGTATTTCACAAGCGAAGCGAGGATGAGTCACTAGTCTAACATAAAACAAGAAAAAAAAAGTTGTCCTACAAAACAGATGGTTTGGATCAAATGAACGATTGTCCTCTCTGAACTATTTATAATATGTATGTATTTAAAGTTACATCATTATGTGTAGTGTATCAACTATCTGGTATCTATAACACAAGCCTCGTTCGTAGCTTACCGTGGAACTAGGTGGTGCTGTGTGTTAATGTTCCAACATTTATTTATTTACTTGTTAAAATGACAACGTCATAATTTTTTTATAACCGGCTGATTTTCATAGTTTTTAAAATTAAAAATATGCATAATTGAATTATCAACTCGTCCTACAAATAAAATGGTAGGATTTCTCAGTCCTATATTTTTTGCCGCACTGTGATACTTTATTCACTACTAACTGTAGGATGAAGGCAGCACATGTGAGTGTATTTTTAATAAATAAAAATATTCTCCTACACCATTTTGATAGTTTATTTAGAAGATAATTTTTTTACCTTATCTAACTTCCATATATGGAGTGATCCGTTATACCCATGTCCCATAAAAGCGTCAAGTCCGAACCTGCTACCATAGAACCCCAGTCCATTCCCTCCCACTTCTCCCACTCTCACAGTTTCAACCCACGCCCCTCCATGAGTTTCTGGTTGCCATATTATAATAGTTTTGTCTAGTGATGATGAGAGAAGACGGTAGAAAGGTTGTTTATCTGTAATTTATTTTTATTTCATGTACTTTTCTAGCATTAAGGGAGAGATGACTAAAAAAATACATCTCCATAAAAAAAAATCAATAACTTAAGAAAATTATCTAATTTACAAAATTAAGTGATCACTGAGGCTAGCATGGTAAGTTCTAACTTTCTCTACTATGAGGAATAGTCATGAACGAATTGTGGCTAATTCGTTCATGGGAATAGTATGCCATTTTTAGTAAAATTTCTTAATAAAAGTTTCAGCCTTATATGTTCACCAGTTCAGTTTTTGCATCAATGAATTGGTTAGGATATTTAATTTATCCAAGCTCAGAAGAACAGACGGTCGTTGGGAATTAAAAGTTCTTGAATGGCGGCCACGTGCCGAACAACGAAGCGTGGGCCTCCCATAAGGTGGTTTGATGACTTGGTCAAAGTCGCTGGAGCCCACTGGTTGCCGATGGTACAAGACTGGTTATAATGGAAATTTTTGTAGGAGGCCTATGTCCAGCAGTGTTTGACGTGTTTGAGTTGAGATGTCTGATGATACTTCATTTATAGAGATAACCTAAGTTTTGTTTCACATTGGCATATTTTAGTCCAGAGGATATAAGTTGGAATTCTCAGAGAAACATTCCTTGGTAAGGACAAGGATTTTAGTGTACCTTTATCAAAGCTCTTTTCCCATTGAACTCCATACACCCAACCCTCATGTCCAGCAAGTACTGCATCAAGTTTCACAGCCCATGTCACTTCATGAGCTTGGAACACCTTCTCCTCCACTTTGACACCTGACACTTCCTTATCTTCATGGCGCTGTATCCTCCAGAGTCTGATATATGTGTCTTGGGATGCAGATGCTAGCATTATTGTGGATTCATCTAAACAATTCATAAAAAATGTATTTTTTATCATTGTCTGTACTATAAACACCAATTATATTTAATTAAAATAATACAGCAGTATAGCAGGTAGCCCAGTGATAATGCGCTCACTTGGGAATCCGAGTGTAGGGGGTTCAAATCCCGAGTCTCGCATCCCTGATATTTTATGTGCGAATCATTTCTAACATGACGACTTGCCTTACGGTGAATGAAAACATTGTAAGGAAACCTGCATATCTGAGAGAACCTAGCAAATTTTCAAAAGACATGTGTAGTCCGCCAATCTGCACTTGGCTAGCGCGGTGGGCTATGGCCTGAACCCCCTTGTATTGAAGGAGGCCCGTGCTCAGCAGTGGGACGTTAAAAATGGCTGAATCTTATTTTACTAGTATTATAAATGAGAAAGTTTATATGTATGGATGTTTGTTACTCAATAATGCCAAGATGGCTACAGCCAGAGATAGATTATAATCTGGAATAGCATATATTTTTTATCCTGGAAAAATGTACAATAGCAAGAAATCTACATGCAGAAAACTACAATGGTGTAAGTTTTTTTCTTAAAGTACACTTGCAATAACTATTTATATCTATTTAGAATGGGCCTAGATATCCAAAGTGAGGGTGAGTCGCTATCTAAAACATATCTAACTCACCAACTCCAATGACATCCAATCCTCTCACCCAATCATCATGCCCAACCAGTATGTGAACTCTGTGATACTCATCTTCTTCTACAAAAATATGTATTTTGTGGTCATCCAATGCACAGAATAGTATGGGCTTATTAGAAATTGGTAGTATATGGGCATGGAGAGTAAGGCAGAGACCAGAAAGTAGACCAATAGTTTGTTTGAGTATTGTGGTACCTAAAAAATATAAAAATTATGTTTGTACATATACAAGATAACAACTATTTTTAATGAATACAGTGACTTTTTAAATAAGAAATAGTCTTGTCAATGTTGAAATATCAGTTTTTTTACCAAAATTATTGTCTATGTTATTATAATAGTTAAGATAATTGAATTAGAAACAACTAAATACCTTCATAAGCTTTCACATTTATAATATATATCAATAGTACATAAAAATATCTATAAATTACATATAAATACAATATCACATAAATTTTAACTTCTTACCATTCTTTCTCTCCCAAACTCGCACAGTTGAATCAATAGATCCTGTATAAACTATCAAGTTATCTTCAATATATAATCCATTGATGCAAGTTACTCCATCACCATGACCTGATAAAACACTTGATACTTTCCAAATTCCATTATCTAAAGTCCAGATGGCACCAGTCTTATCAGTAGAACATGAAATTAGTTCTGTACAACTATTATCAGATTTGTGAAGCCATTTGACGGAGTTCACTTTTGATTTGTGGTGGCTCAATACAGTAAGAGGATCTGTTCCTTTTGCATTCTGGAACGTAATACTTATTTTTTTAGAACATATTTTTGAAATTATTTAATACGAAATAAATTAGAAAACATGTTTACCGTGTCATAAATAGCCACAGCATTTGAAGCGCCGAAGCATATTAGACCTTGTTTGTTCCAGTCAGCTATTTCAGGACAGCGGTTACATGCGACAGAAGTATACACTTGTTTTAATAATACCATTTTTAATAAAATTAAATTCGCATGTGTAATGTTTTGTTTACTAAAATGACATTAGAAAAGAGGTTATAATATTACTGTCAAATGTTGTCACTTGTCAATTATCATCTGTGTTGGTCGTGACATAAACAAGAAATATTATTTTAATAATAAAAGTATCATTAGAAACAAGAAAAAAATATTGAATAATATTATTAGAAACCAGAAATATTATCTGTTGACTCGTCGTAAAATGATGCTTATGAATTTATTTGAAAATATATTATGTTTTAAAATACTATATAAGAAAGAAAACTTTATTAAACTTTATAAATATATATTATTTAATTTGGTACAGATTTGAGATTCGTAATAAAATTTAGGAATCTAATTTGGCGGGAATGTGTAATACAAATTACAATACTTCAACTTGACATTAGTGGAGATTATTGGGCCTGGTGTCCTGTTTTATTTCATTATTTTGTGTACAATTGATAAAATAAATATTTTACAGCTGTTATTTATTTACAATAAAAATGCCAGAAGTAATGATTTATGGTATTCCCGTGACTTTTCCATTCGAACCTTATGATGTACAAAAAGCTTACATGGAAAAAGTTATTCAAAGCTTACAAAATAATACAAACGCAGTATTAGAATCACCGACAGGAACTGGAAAAACTCTTAGTTTGCTGTGTTCTTCTTTGGCCTGGTTAATGGTTAAAAAAGCACAGTTACAAATGAATGCACAACTTGGTAATTTTTCTGAACATAGTGGTAGTTTTGGTGGATCCCTACGAGATAATTTAAAAGCAGGCGCTGGTAGTAAAGCTAAAGATAACACGACTTGGGGTATGCCAAAAATTATCTATTCATCACGAACTCACTCGCAATTGACACAGGCTATGCAAGAATTAAAAAGATCAAGTTATAAACATGTTAAGGCCTCTGTTCTTGGTTCAAGAGATCAAATGTGTATTCATCCTGAAGTATCTAAAGAAACTAATAATATGAATAAAGTTCACATGTGTCAGTTAAAAGTGAAGTCTAGAACTTGTTATTTTTATAACAATGTGGAATCCAAAAAAGATGATAGATCAGTAAGAGGTGATGACATTCTAGATATTGAAGATTTGGTTTCTGTAGGCAAAAAGTTAAAATGTTGCCCATATTATTTATCTAAAGAGTTGAAACAAGATGCTGATATAATTTTTATGCCATACAATTATTTATTAGATCCAAAATCAAGGAAAGCTAATGGAGTTGAACTCCTTAATAATATTATAATTCTTGATGAAGCTCATAATGTGGAAAAAATGTGTGAAGAATCTGCTTCTCTCCAAATTAGGACTACAGATGTGGCACTTTGTATTGATGATATAACACATATAATGAGGTCTTTTGTTGAAGGAAATGACGATCAGATGGATATGACCCTGGATAACAATCAACCAAAAGATTTTACATGTGATGATCTGTGCATTTTAAAAGAAATGATGCTTGCTTTAGAGAAAGCTGTTGATGAAATTCCAGTTGGGCCAGAGGGTACAACTTATCCTGGTGGTTACATATTTGAGCTTCTCAATAAAGCAGAGATAAAGGATCACAATCACACTTCTGTTATATCTTTAATAGATAATCTCATTCAATACCTCTCCACAGCAAGTGCATCACCTTTTCAAAGAAAAGGTGTTGGACTTCAAAAGATTGTCGATTTATTAAATGTTGTATTTAGTGGTATCTCCCATGCATATAAGGAAAGAATAAAAATGTGTTATAAAGTACACATTCATATTGAAGATAAGAAGAATAATAAGAAAACAGATAGTTGGGGAGCTTTAAAAACAGGGAATTCTAAAACTGCTGAGAAAGTCATTAGCTACTGGTGTTTTAGCCCAGGCTTTGGCATGAAACAACTATTAGATCAAAATGTTAGAAGCATTATTTTGACAAGTGGTACATTAGCCCCTTTAAAGCCTCTTATATCTGAGCTTGGTATACCAATTGGAATACAGTTAGAAAATCCACACATAGTTAAGTCAAATCAGATATGTGTTAGAATCATAGGCCAAGGCCCTGATTCCACACCACTGAACTCAAGCTATCAAAATCGTGACAATCCCAAATATATTTCATCATTAGGCAGAACTATATTGAGTTTCTGTAGAGTTATCCCAGATGGCTTGTTAGTGTTCTTTCCGTCATACCCCATTATGACTAAATGTCAAGAAATGTGGCAAGCTGAAGGTATCTGGACCAGTATAAACAATATAAAACCAATATTTGTTGAACCTCAAAGAAAAGATACTTTCAATGCAATAATCAATGACTATTATAATAAAATTAGTGATCCTAGTACAAAAGGAGCTTGTTTTATGGCAGTGTGTCGAGGTAAGGTATCTGAAGGCTTAGATTTTGCTGATATGAATGGAAGAGCAGTTGTTATAACTGGATTGCCTTTCCCACCTATGAAGGATCCTAGAATTATTTTAAAGAAAAAATACTTAGAAGAGCTCAGGGTTAAAGAGAAAGAATTTTTGTCTGGAGATGAATGGTATTCCTTAGAAGCAACAAGAGCTGTAAACCAGGCTATCGGAAGAGTCATCAGGCATCAACATGATTATGGTGCTATTTTGCTTTGTGATAATAGATTTAATAATCCAAAATTGAAAAATCAACTGTCAGCATGGTTGAGAGACCTTATAAAAGTATCAAATAAGTTTGGAGAAAGTCTTAGTGAAATATGTAGATTTTTTAAAAATGCTGAGACTTCTTTGCCACTGCCAAAACTAAAACCGCTGCTACCGCATGAGGTTAACAACAGCCATAAAGAAAATGCTTCTATTTCTCTGACTGGAGTATCATTTCCAGTAACAAACACAAGAGCAGTGAAAATTAAAAAATCTGTTAATGAGTATCCTAACTCAAATGAAGTCTATGCTGACTTTTCTATGGATTTTTATAAAAATGCCCAAGCGTCAACATATGTAAATGAATTTAAGCCCAAGGAAACCAAAGATCTTTTTAGTGTTATAGATTCCAGTAATGATAGCACACTATCAGCACAATCTTTAGTTACAATTCATAAGAGAAATGCAGAGGAAGCGAGTGTCATTGCTGTGGCGAAGAAAAAGAAATTAAAAATAAAAGATTTTGGGTTTGAAGAAAATATTAAGGGGTCTGGTGAATTACCACAAACAGCAGCTGAAGAGAGAGTGGCACCAACTGCACTAATAGATTTTGTCAAAGAAATAAAAACACTGCTGGATTCAGAAAAATATAAAAAATTCCAGCTATCTATTTCTGCATATAAAAAAGATGGGGATTATAGTTTATTTTTAAGCACACTAACTGAGCTTTTAGAAAGCAAAAGGCTATTTTATTTATTTAAAGGTATGAAGAGATTTTTAAAGGAAGAACATAAAGTACTTTTTCAAAATTACTGTGATAATGTAAAATTTCAGAGTTGACATGACTGATTAGACAATGTGTAAATATGTTATATCAATCATTATTTATAGTATGTTTTAAAACATTTTTAGCCTCAATTGCATTCACTTCTTGTTATATAAGATTTTGAATTTCTAGAGCATTTTATCTAAAATTAACTGGTTTTCCTTTTTAATTGTAACATAATTTTTATGTAAAATAAAATAATATATTTTTAATATAAATTAAGTATAAATAATAAAACATTTTACTTCTACATTTAATATTTTATTATAACTACACATCCATACTTAGTACTAAAAAATGTTTTTGGGGCCTTCGTTGATTCTATTAGCTATTTCTACAGAGTTAATTCTTAACATAGTTTGTTGAGCTCTTTGGAAGTTTATCCTCATAAATTGCTTCCTTCGTTTCTTCTTGAAATGAGTTCTAGTGTGTGACAGGCCTTTAGAAATAATTGTAGCAGTCACTGTTACCAAGCCAGGTTGCACTAATGGTCTTCCGATGAGGGAAACGTCTTTAGTTCCTGCTAATAATACTTTGTCTAATGTAATTTTGTCACCGATATTCGGTGGCCAATACCCTTCTACAACTAGTAGATCACCATCGCTAACTCTCCATTGTTTTCCCAGTAAATGTATTATTGCAAAATTACGAGAAGACCTCGATTCAATTAACTTATTACATGTCGCTATTACATCTTTAGTAGTTTCAGGAACGGTAGAGTTTTGAGTTGGAGCATTTTGTGTAATAAATCTTGAAAGGATGCCACCTATAAAAATGAAAATGTATATTTCGTTAACTTTCAGCTATAGTAAACTTATCAAATACCTATATAGATATACCTTGATTATTACTAAATACGTTAGCTAAACGTCTTAATCCGGCTCTGATCATGATTATAATATAGTATAATCGTTATATTATTAATAAATCATTCTTTTTCTTTATTTAAAACTAACATAACCAAACCATCTGCTTATATTGTCATTTCACATTTGACAAGTAATTTAAGCACAGATTACTTTATTTACCCTAATTACAGATATATAATCTCCGGATATGAAATAAAATATTATTATATAAATACGAAACGAAGAAGTCAAAAGTTATGGACACTTAAAGTTAGAACATTTCCATACATTTCTATACCTAAATAGTCATTACAAAAGATAAATATACCTTTTAATGAATAGTAAACATCTTTTTTCGTGTAAAATCTATATTTTCATAACAATTAAGGCTTAATTGTATTAATATTTCGATAATTTCACTAAAACAATAATCAGACAAACAATCACAAGTGCAACTATCGACAGAAAAATGCTTATAACTCTGTTGGTACTTTTATGCACATGGCTGTTTTTTGCATAACTGGGTCTAATTTACATTGAGCAAAGACTTTTAAATCATTATTTGATTTTATTATCTGTGAATACTTTTCTGTATTTTTGGCGGGTAGTCACAAAATACGACGAAGTTTGATAGTTTAAGTGAATAGGATCTGTACCACCTACTCATTAAACGCGTTCAGGTTTTCATAGTTATTTTTCTCATATTATTTTCTAGTAGTTTTTAGTTTGTACGTTCGTTTGTACGTTAATTTTCATATGTACGTTCGTTTCTAGTTTTCAACCGACTTCAAAAAGGAGGAGGTTCTCAATTCGACTGTATGTTTTTTTTTTATGTTTGTTACCTCAGAACTCCGTCATTTATTAACCGATTTGGACAATTTTTGTTTTGTTTGAAAGGGTATACTTCGAGATTGGTCCCATTTAAATTTCAAAAAAAAATACCACCCCTAAGGGTGGAAAAACAACTAATGATGAATTTAACCTACTTCTAATTGTCATATTGACTTGAAACTTTGCAAGTATTTCTATTTCCGTTGATAGTACAGTGGTTCGGTGTTGTTGACCTGATCTGATGGCAAGGCCAGAAGGTGGATAGGTGGAACTCTTCAACGGCTAATAGTAGATACTTTGAGTTTGGGCTTATTTTGTTTGATTTGACAAGCCTAACACGTTAGAATCCTTACTTTGCTACTACTGTCTACACTAAAAAGGGAAAAATAAAAACTTTTTAACAAAAAAATAAAAACCGACTTCAAACAAAAGCACTAAAAGCTTTGCTTTGCTTTGCTGGCACCGATTTCGAAAATATTTGATTAGGTATGTATTTAATAGGTAGGCTTAATTACTTAGCCAAAAGCACACCGACTTCGAAAATATTTGATTAGGTATGTATAGTAAATGAAAACTACCAATCAGTTATTTTTTACTTTTTAGTGCTTTTGTTTGAAGTCGGTTTTTATTTTTTTGTTAAAAAGTTTTTTTTGTTTTAAAAATATTACTATATAGTTTTAAGTTTTTAATCTATCTCCTATGCCTTTGGTAAGAGATAGTTTGAAGGGAAACTGGAATGGACATAGAATATTTTTCATCCCGGAAATCATCCCTTAAGGGGGTGAAAATGGGGATGAAAGTTTGTATGGTGAATCAACCTAGGGAAGAACCCGAGCGAAGCGAGGGTGAGTCGCTATTTTATAATATAGGTAGAGACAATTCTATGATAGGCAAAATATACTTAAATTAGACAAGAATATAAAAAATTATTATCGAGCTAAACTGATTTTATTCTAACTTTCGTATATCACGCATTCTCTTATATTTTTACTTACATTTTAAAAATATCTTCTTAGTTTTGTGCCAGCAGATTTGTGCAGATATATGATATACTAGCGGCTCACCCTCGCTTCGCTCGGGTTCGTCGCTAGGTACGTTTTAAATAGATATAAAAAGAAAAAATCTTTCTTTCTCACATTTTAATTATATGTTTTAATACTTACCTATTCCGGACTAAGAGAAATCCAAAAATTAAAATATCATAAAAATTGGAACGCGGTCGAACGGGATAAAAAGTATCCTATGTCCTTCTCCTGGCTCTAAACTACCTCCCTGCCAATTTTCAGCTAAATCGGTTCAGCCGTTCTTGAGTTATAAGCGAAGTAACTAACACGACTTTCTTTTATATATATAGATTTAATAGGTACACAACAGTCTATTAAAATATATTTATTTCACTTGAGGTTTGACAAGAAAACTTATGGTTATGAAAATTACACAAAAAAATTACATAAAATCTTACAACTGCGTGAAAATGAGAGTCGTGGAGGATCGTTATGATATGGATGTTTACGCGTTCGGCGCTCGCGGCTCTCTGCCTGGTCGAGCCACGCCGTCGCTCACGCGTTCGCGGGAGACGGCGCGGGCGCCTTAAACTATCCGATCGCACGAAACACGGCCCTACAGGATCGTACATGTTCCGACACGATACCCCGCGATCACCGTTGTTTGTAAAAACCCCGCGTTACATATATTAAATAAAACTACTTTTTCGGATTTTTTCGTGGTTTTATTTTTATTTGATTATTTATCTATACTAATAATAAAAACAGGAAATATTTGTTTGTTTGTTTGTACCGAGTAGGCTCCGTAACCAACATAATCGGTTTAGATGAAACATCTAGATCCGTTCAGCCGTTCTGGCGTGAAAGAGTAACAAACATCCATATTCATAAACTTTCACATTTATCATATTAGTATAGATAATGACTCCTTGACTGACTTCGACCACAGTTGCCAATTTCACTGGAATTCACTATCTGCAAAGGATATATTAATTTTATAATAGTGCCTTATTCCTTTCACTTACGCGGCGCACGGTAGTAAAGCTCCAAGTCTGCTATATTTTTTCGACGTCTTCAACAATCAAATAAAGCCGTATGAAAATCCGTTGCGTAGTTTTTGAGTTTATTGCGTTCAGACAGACAAACGAGGGGATTTTGTTTTACTAGCGACTCAAGTACGTTTTAACGGTTAATATGAAATATATAGATTATATGTTATATAACCTATAGTCTTCCTCCCATTTGTTTTTATATTTCACTAGAGGACGTAGGGGAATCCACTTCCAATTAATAAAAGCACCGTTTTAATTAAAATCTTCGTCTGGAGTTTCGCCATAAATGTATTCAAATCATGATCAGTAAAAAAAAATCAATTAAAATATTTTTTTAGCTTTACTTGTATTTCAACTGTATATACCTACTTTAAGATTAGTTTTATTTTAACTTTACTTCTAGTGTTTTACTTAAGTTTTAGAAATTACTTACTTGATTAATTATCATCTAAAATTTCATGACAAACCAAAAGTGTAAAGGCATATCTGTAGTAAATCTTGTTTCTAACGTTTAGAAATGTCACATTTATTATATTAAAGGCCGAGTTGAGAATAAGTTACCAATTAGGTAACAGAGTGATTATAGGCGTAACCTAACTAGGCTGGTTTTAATTATCAGACAGATAAGTCAAATAAATCATTTGATTAACTCGAATTTACATGATTATGATAACTTGAACGATGGGGCAATATTATAGTGGAATTTCAAACGCCGCTATTATACATATATTATAAGTTTATTACATTTCCTTTAAAACGATCACCCAAGAGAAGAACTTAAGATAAAAGGTAGTAGCAAATTTTTGCGTAGCTTGTAGGAGTTGTGATTTATCGCTCTTGCCCCAGCTAAATAATAAAAATAATATTTCTTGCTCCACGGCGTCATGACGAATGGGCTGAATAATGCGAGTCCATTGCGTGGTGATTTGAATTGAGCTGTGTCTAAGGTATTTTAGTTTTGTAAATGGTTTCAGGGGGGAAAATATAAAACAGAAAATAAGTGGAGTAAATGTTACAAGAAGAACTTGTATGATGCAAGTTTTTTTGAAGGGAAAACTTCTATAGGCGGGTTTGGATAGGGAGTAAATTCATGTAAGTCGTCATCGACATGGACGTGACATGTTAACGCTAACACTCAGAGTGGCGATATAGTCTAATCGGAATCCGGTTTGGGAAATATTGAAAACCTGAAGTTTTATGCTTTATTTATTATAGAAATTCGTAAAATGCCCCCTATGCCCACCTACCCCCGAGAAATGGGGGGACGCAAAGCGTTGAAAAATATTTTTTTTTAATTTCCGGCTTACTGTGACGTTTTACCGAAAAATGTTTTCTACAAAAGTTGTAGGTTTAGTAAAAATTTACAACTGTTATAAATAACACTTTTTATAATAACCTCAAAGTTTTCGACATATTTGCAAAAAACTCGATTTTTAACTTTTTTTGGGTTTTTATTTTTAATTTCTAGAATAATCTTTTGATTTCCATGAAACTAATGGAATGTAATCTTCAAAATATATACAATAAATAAAAAAAAATGAAATTGAAATATTTAGCCATTTCCGAGAAAAGTATGTTTTATGGTTTCGAAAGGCAATCACCCCCAACTTCAAGTGGGCGATTGCATTTAAAAAAAAATTGTTCAATTTTCATTAAAAAAATCTCTTAAAAATAAACAGATTCCGATTGGTCTAATAGATGTCAAAACCAGATAAATGTAAACTGTTTTAATTTAGAAATTTTAATTTAAGGTCAAACAAATTAATTTGAACGTCTATGTAAAAAATTATCAATTTTGTGATAAGATATATTATGTAGTTTACATATATTTTAATTTTTTTTTAGTGTTACCGCGTTATAAACAAAAGGCAACTTTATTTTAAACTCTACTTCCGTTTTAATGTTTAGTATAGATTCCTCAGAGATGAGATATTTTCCCGTAGTAAAAAAGTATTCTATATGTTGACCCGGATAACCAGCTATCAGCATACCACATCTCATCAAAATCCCAGTGGTTTTTCCGTCATGCGGTCACAGACAGACAAAAATTCTAAAAACTATGGAATCAGCCTCTGTGTCGATAATAACGTCTATTTCAAATGATTTTCCAAAAAATATATACATATGCCCAGTACTTTTCAACCAACTTCAAAAAG